AGCCAGCAGAAAATGTAGATGGGGTCTTGTAGGAGCCCCACAGCAAGAGGTGCAGTGGACACAGGCTGAAACATAAAAAATTGCAATCAGATACATGGAAATATTTTTTAAAGGTAAAAAGCAACTGTGCTCAAATGCTGGAACGGGTTGCTGAGAAAAGTTGTAAAATCTCCTTTGTTGGAAAAAAACAAAATTTACCTGTGAAAGAGCATGAGCCACACGAACTAATTGTAACTGCTTTTTGCAGAGGGTTGGACAAGATGAACTTCAGAGGACACTTACAAACTGAATTAATCTATGTTTATATGAGTTGAGGACAGTCCTATCTGTCATTTGGTCTACAGAAATCATACAGAGATGCAATTAGCTGCACAGAGGTCATTTAAGGTCAGCCAGCTCTCATTGCCTGACCAGCGGTCAGGTCATCAATTCAAGGTGAAAACAGCCTTCATATTTTGTCCAGGAGTAATGTGAAGTTAACTTGAGGTGCAGCCAGTTGAAAGGGGGATCACTGGACAACAGCAAAGTCCTTGTGTGCTGCTTAGGAGTCACCTGAAGGAAACCTGTGACCGACTTAACTCCCTAGGGGTCATTTCAGGCCAAACAGATCTGGTTTTGCAACCTGGGATCATCTGATACCAGCATGACAACCACTTACCTATTTGGGGGTTATTTAAGGCCAATCATCATGCTCAATTTCCTTCTGAGATGCTGTTTGAAATCAACTTGAGATAGAGTTATAGGGTCTAAATGTCATCTGCGGTGAGCATAAAATCCAAGTCCCTGCTTGGGGTAATCTGAGGTTAAATGAGAGTCAATTAACCTGCCCGTGATCACTGGAGGTCACCACAGATACTTAGGAAGGTCGTATAAGGTCAATTTGAGGGCTAAATAACTGCCACAAGGTCATCTGAGGTCAACCTGAGGGCCAATTAACCTGTCTGGGGTGGAGGTTATCCAACATCATCATGAGACTCAGGTCTATGTAAGGTGTTGTTTGAGGTCAGGTAGGCTCTTGTTTGCAGCCCAAGATTATCTGAGGTCAACTTGACATCCAACTACCTCCACAGGTGTCCTTTAAGGTCAACACTGTTCTCATTTCTAGGAGGGGCGATCATTTAAGATCAGCTTGAAATCCAATTAAGCAGCCAGGGTTCATCTGAGGTCCACCAGAGAGACTGCTGGAGTTCATGTGAGGTCAGTGCAGCATTTGTTCAATATCCAGAGGTCATTTAAGGTAAACCTGAGGTCCAGTCAATTGCTTAGTCTGTCATTTGAGGTCAATCTGGCTCTAATTTAGTGCCAAGGGGTCATTAGGTACCAATCCCATGCTTGTTTCCTGTTTGAGGTCATCTGAGTTCAAGCTGAGATGCAACTCTCACTGCATGGTCATCTGAGGTCAACTCTCATGTTTGTGGCACAGGTTGGTTTAGGTGGACATGAATTCTAATTACTTCTGGGGTCACTTGAGGTCCAACTGGCCCTTCCGTGAGCCCCAAGGTTCATCTGAAGTCAATATGGTAGCAAATTAGCTAAAATGGGTCACCTGAGGACAACATGGTATCCAATGATCAGCTTGGGGCTCATCCGAGGTCAGTGCTGCTCTCCTTTGATGCCTGAGGTCACTGAAAGTCAGTTTTACACCAATAAATTGCCCAGGATCATCCTGGTCTTTGTTTTCTTTCCACAAGTTATTTGAAGACAAATTCAGAACCAATTAACCTGCATGGGAGTCATCTGAGATCAACCTTAAATTAAACCAGTTACTCCAAATGATCATTTGATGTTGGCCTGGCCCCCTTTGGTGGCCAGAGGTCACCTGAAGTTAATCTAGAACACATTTCCTTACAGCCACTTGAGGCCAACCTTAAATACAGTTAGTACCACAGTGGTAATTTCATTTGCTCTTATGGGGTTTTTGACGACCACCCTGGACCTCTGTTGCTCTCCTTGGTCAGTTTCTGTACAATGGGGACCTCTAAGTTTACACCTCCTCTCTTGGTGATCTTCTATCATGCATGGAATATATCTGAGATCCATTTTAGGCCTCTTCTCTCTTCACCATTTTGTGGCCATATTCTGCCTCTATACTCCGCTAATGTTCCTTACAGGTCAACCCCAACCCTTTTGGACTTCTCAAAGATTGAGAGTGGTTACAGTCAGCTCTTCTTCTGTGTGTTATGGTTATTTAACTCAGCCACAGGCCTAATTTGAGGGGCTTGCCATAAGAGTTCAAATCCTTCCCTAGGTTTTAGGTAGATGCAGGCTGGGATAATCTGTGGTCATCTTCTACTTTCATTTTGTTCAACAGTCAGTTGAGCTCAGTCAGATCCAACACTTTCACTTTGCTGGAGGTTCAGGTGAGGTCAGCTCCTGGTTTGATTTGGGGCAACCTACATACCTTGAGTTTAATCCCACCACTTATATTCTGCTTACAGGTCATCTCAGCTGAAGCCCATTCTCTGTATTGTGGAAGATGGTTATACAGGGCTAGCTACTAATCCGAGATGCTCCACAGAGGTTAGCTGAAATTGAATATTATTCTCATTTCCTCAGTAGGCTCTCAGAGTCTGACCAAATTTCACTCTCCAGTGTATTGTGAGGTTAAAACTCAGTGTCAATTGAATTGAGTAGTTTGTCCTAGTTCATGTGGCATGACATTCTGCTACTCAGACATTTTCAGAGGTTAGGTAATACTTCAAATTTCATAGCAGAGATCAACTGAGGAGAAGCATCTCTTTTTCATTGTCAGGTGAGACACTTTCCTGTTGAAACCAGGCCACCTGGGATGCACGGTACACACAAATGCTCTGTCTTAGTAGAGCCTGCCCCATGCTACAGACCGCAGAACCAAGATGACACTGGCAGTATCTCTGTGAGACGACTGTTCAGTCAGGAAAAACAGCAGGAGGAAGGCTCATAAGTCAGAGACTGCTTTCTGCATCTCAACCTCACCTCCTCTTCCTCCTCCTCTTTCATCCCCTTCTCTGTTCTGCCAGCCACGGATATGCTGGACTGCCTGCACAGTGTCAAAACCCAAGTCATATTTGTTGAATGACAACCTGAAAAACTGAAGGTTTTATCCATTTATCTAAATCTCTGACACAAAGAACAGAGCCAGACTTTCTTTAGGCAACAAAGTCACCGCTTTTCTGCAGGACTTTTCTCTGATTTATTTCTTTAATCTTCAGCACTTTATCACAACTGAACACCAACATGTAAATGGACCTAGGTTATTTTAAAACACTAGTTTATTTGCTCTGTCCCTGCAAACAGAACTAATGACAGGTAGGCAAAGGAACAGAGCATTGCAGCTGTTTACACACTCCTCAATATGAAAGAGGAAAATAATTTGTTTGGATTTAGTTTGAAAAATATTTTCCCTAGCATTAGTTACCATAAATTAGGGGATGAAATTGTCCTCCAGAATAATTCAAGATGTAACAAGTACAGTAAAGAAAAGCTGAAAAGCAGTAACAGATCTTGCAAAAGGTCTAGTAACAAGGAAAAGGCTGATAATTCTGGTGTGATCACAGCTGATGTGAAGGCCTGGGTCACTACAGACGGGCTTTTCTTTATTTCTGGGATCACTTTTTTCAAGCAAAAAGTGAATGGCATCAACATCCTAAGAATGGAGAACAGATATAAAAGGTAGCTGATATAACACATCTGACAGTTAAGTCAATGGAATGACACTCATTTATATCAGTTCCTTATTTACACTAGTGGCTGTATAGGCTTTTTACATCACATCTAGAATTAGAGTGAAAAATAAAACTGTCATATTAAAGTGATTATATTTTTCTTAAATCTGCAACAGTAACTTGGCCTACCAACTACCAATTTTCTAAGAATCAAGCATGCATCTCAACTCAAAAAAAAAACCCAGTTTATTGAACATCTAATAAATTACGACCCAATAAATAAAACATCTAACAAAGTATCTACTTTCTACTTCCGTAAAAAGATATTTTTACTTATGGGACAGGTATAGAAACAGTCTTGCTGAAAACATATTGAATACAAGAATAGAAACTAATGCTACTACACCACTGAAACAAAAGGAGGAGCTGATACCACATAAATATAGAATTAATACCCGTTTGTTACCTTGAGATTAAAAATAAAAATAACTGCATTATTTTCTGTGTGTTACTTTCACCTGTTTCCCTAGTGCTTGGAAACATATTATTTCACTCTACACCCAATAACAACAGAAAGATTTTGAAAATGTGGTTTTATTCCTTTGAAACAGTATGAAATAGATTGACAAAACCACAAATATAAATCTATTTTGATAAAATATAGATGTAATATCCCTTCTGTCTTTATTGCACTAACAATAAATGAATAAACCTGAACACATCACAACTATGAAAAAGAGAAATTTTCAAAAGCCTTCCTGAGAATGAGGTTTGCAATTTCTGAATATTTTTCATATGTTTAAACTACATCTCCAATGCAGCAGCTGCCAGAAACACATTTTGCTTTGAGTAATCTCAAGTGAATTCCTAAGTAAGCTTCTTTTAATCTCATATTAAAATGTGAGTTTATAAATACTTTGGTTTCATTTTTTTTTTCAGAACTTTTTTCAGAGCAGGCAGTAAGCCTGACTTATTTGAGCAAGTAGCAGGACTTTTTTTCCTGAACCCACCAGAAATATGCAATAAATTCCTGTATGTGCTTTTAAGGAAAAAGAAACACTGAAACTAATAATCAGAAAGCCCTATGGTTTCACATGCAAGATTTCCTCTTCCACACTAGCTGTCAAGAAGCAAGAGAACCACCCTGTCCTGCATATCTTTCTTTCCACATGCACCACAGTTTTAGTGTGGGGTTTACTGCGTTCCCATTAAAGGCTGTTGGGTTTTTTTTTGTTTGTTTTCTTTTCATGTTTTCAGTGAGCATGATCTTCAATCTGAGGTCAGTATTTAGACAATTCAAAGAATGTACAGAATTTGTAGTAACAAAAGACACCATGGACTCAAAAGAAATAAAAATAATTTTTTCAAATTATTTTCATTACAATTTATTACTGAACTAGAACAAAGTGGAGAGGGGAAAGGCCTTTAACCAAACACCCAAATTTACAGTCTAGTAAAATGTGAATCAGCCCTCCCAAAAAATGCAGAAAGCAAGCTGAGGCAAAATTAATTAACCAGCAGGATCACCAAAATTTTCAACTTAGTGTCTCCATGCATGTAAAAATTAGTGCTAGGATAAAAGTACGTAACGAAACAATTTCAAATGCCTCCTTTTCTTGTTTCATCATATTAATACTTCACACTGAGCAAAAATAAATATCAAACATGTTTATATCAACTATATTTTAACACAAATTTGTATCTTGCAAGGATCCCCAATTTGAGGTGAAGGTAGTATGCTAGGTACTAACAAAAAAGAATAAGATGAATCTGCAATGAGCCATATACTGTAAGGCTTCTCACAAGTATTCATTTCTGTGAATGCAGAAGCCACTCACTCTTGAAGACAACAGGAGCAAGAGGGTTGTCAAGAAAAGATCATCTGAAGTATGACTTGCGCATATCTTCAAAACTTAAAAAGAAACAAAAGGTGCTCAAGTACGGAGTTTATTTTTTGTGTCTAATATACATGTGTTCAGAATTTATGGCAATGATTGAGGAAAACACAATCAGGGCAGGACTTAAATTGTCTTTGGCTTTAAAGACATATTTATGTCTCATTTAACTTAACTGAATTTAAAGGCATACTAACAGATAGAGATCCTTCAGAGAAAGTTCTGTCTTTAAAGTATATATGTATGCATGTAAGCAGCTACATCCCTAAATCCAAATTTTAAGATGATAATCACTGGAAGCAGAACTACTATCTTAACAGCAAAGTGATCAAAATCCACCATCCTTCTGTAGAGATACAATTAAACAAATCTCTTTCACAGGCAAGCTAAGCCTTCTGATACATTGAATTGCTTCCAAAAAAGCCAAAGGGAAGTACATTTTTTGCAAAATGAATAATATAATCTCATCAGGAAAAAGGTGGGGGGTTTCCACAAAAATAATCTTATAAAACAATTTTTAAAAATATAAAAAGCAGGAAGAATCTCCTCAGGATGCTCTCAGGAACTGAAGGCATCTCGGCTGAACACAGTGTAGGTGATTACTTCAGTGCCATCATCAATATCATAATCAGTATAAAAACTGGGTACATATGACTTCCAATTCCTATGTGTGCATAGACATTTTCTAAATATATCAAATGTATGCTAGATCATAACAAATAGCACCCTTATGCATTAAAATTTACTGTCAGTTGTGGTGGAAATATGATTTTGTTTCTTTTTCAAGTATAAAGTTATCTGTTGACTTACATTTCAACTGTAGGTATTTCTACAGAAGTACAAAGTTACTTTAATGACAGATGTGATCTGTAATACAACACTAGTTGTATTAGACATATTTCTGCTGAGCACTTCATTTAAATCTTTATTCTACAAAAATCATATTGCACATTGATTTTTGTGTTTTCTGAACTTCTACTGAAATCAAATGACATCAATAGAAACAGAGGCAGATGCTGCAAAAACATACGTATAATTGCATCACTGTTAGACAGAAGTCCTAGTACAACCTGAAATTGACAAGAAGTTAAATACCAAATGGAACACATTATTCTCTGTGACTTCTAAAATCTTTGTTGCCAATTACAACTTCAAAACATTCTGAAGCTAAAATATTATAAAGAAAGGCAGGTCCTGGTTAAAAGCTGAACCATGATCAAGGTTATTCTTTATGCTTGTATTAAAGATCATAGGTTTATCAATTTTATCAATTCAAAAATGAGAAAGGTCAATGATGCTTGTGGGTCCAATAATCTAACCCTTCATTGCTCAACTTGTCCTTGATCTGTTAAAAAAATTCAAGGTGAAACTCCCATTAAATTTTTTCATCTACCTGCTATATCCGTGACTATCGTTTAAACCACTAATTCATTACTCATACATTCTTGGTTTGTCTCTGCATCAAAATCAACAATAAAGAGAATAATATTCCTACAATTTCCTGGAAAGCCTCCTATGCCCAGGGAAAAGTGAGCAGGGGCTCTGCCTCTGAAAATGAATTATTTGCATGTATGTATACCTTCAGGTATGTATATACTTTCAGTTATATATATTATACTTTCAGTTATTAAAGAGTAGAGAGAGAAACATCGAATCACTGTCCCCCCTTTGAAACATACTTGTCACAGTCATTTTCCTAAGAAAGCAGAGTTTAGAACCATAATATACGTTTCAAATAAAAGAAAACAAAAAAAAAAGGCATTGATGGGACAGTTCATCCAGCTAAGAGGTGACCTGCTCCAGGCAATTCACTGAACTGTACGAGAAAGACCAGCACAAGAGCATGGAAGGGCATTAAATAAAGATTTTTTTTTTTTTTACTCCTTGCCTATAGGGTCTGTCAAGGGCAGACAGATGCTTCACTCAGACACCTGTGTTTTGTTCTTTTGGACTGACCCATGGCAGTGATAAGAGGCAGGTTTCTGAGCACACAAAGGCACAGGCTCTGCTCAGAGCCACTGCTTCACAGCCGCGTGTCATACTCCAAAGGCTCATCTGCATCATCAGCTCCTCTGGTGCATGTCTCTATTTCTATTTCGAAGGCTGGGCCAACCCTTTCCAGTGTGTAGTCACTTCTTCTCAAATCTATAGCAAGAAAATAAATTCAACAATGCAGCCAAGTAAATGTTTGAAAAACATGTTACCCCAGGCAGTGTCCAATCCAGTGACTGGTGGCAGTCTGTTAGCTGTTTCCAGGAGGAAGAAAATCTGCAGCAGGGCCAGGGATATGAAAGCCCTGGGGGGACCTAAAATGGCATGAGCTGATACAAATGAACCTTCCCTTATTGTATTCATTCAGCTGATTTTCCCCTCTATTATCTCTAGCTGCCACAGACACAAATAATCAAAACCCATAATACTGCAGTTTCTGTTTCAGAATCAAACAGCAATTATTAGTCCAGGCAGGCATTGGAAGGAAGGAGATTTCCCCTAGAAAAAAATAGGTGTGTGGAAATTCATCCAGAATAACAATCTATTCTAGCTTTGAATCTGCCCCACATCAAACAGAAGCACATTCTATCAAATCCAACGTGAACAACAGGCAATCCAACTAAGCAGAAGGGCTGTAGTGTATAGAACCCTATGTCAGGGCCAGGAAATCTCCAGTGAGTTTTACCCCAGCTGATGCATTTCCAATTTTTAGATTGTTACTCTTTCTCATTCTAAAAATTATTGTTGATGTTATCTGTAGTGATGACCCTGGAAAAATGAGCCACCATTTTGCAAAGCAAAGGAAAGAATTCAATGGGTAGAAGTTTTCATGATGAATACTAAAATTAGGTGGATACTCTCCAACCCTTACATGGTTGCTTGGTAGAAGAGCAATATTCTTGTATTGGCCTTTGCACAGAGAGAGTGTGCCTGCTAGAATTTTTCAGCTCAAAAGAATTTCAGTTATTTTCTTTATACCACACCTAGGCCTTTACTTCCTTGCACTTCAAAAGTTATAGATAGGTTAAAAATTAATCTTTACTTTGCATACCAGGAAGTTTCAGCCTCCTGCAGCAAGAGTTACAACGATGCTTTGTGATGAAGTTTCTTATTGCACCTTCTCCTAGGTTTGCTGGTCCAAATACCATCTTTCCAGATCTAAAAGAAATATTATTAAATAATCAGTGAACTCAAGTTAAAGCAATTGTAGGGGAGGGAGATGATGATTTTTTTTTTTTTTTTTTAAATGAGAGATAAGTTAGCCCTTTGTATAAAGACAATCAAAGCTTAGAGTACATCACAAGTTTCTTAGCTCTGGGACAAGAAAAATGCCAATTCTGGTAAAGTACTAGCTTACATATACCCCCCACACTACTCTTTTTTCCTGCTGCATCTCAAAGGTGTTCTACAGGGAGACAGGACACACCCAGCAGTTCCTAGCAAAATATTCAAAGGAAATTTGGGCACAGTGACATTCAGACAACATACACCTGAATCTGAGTGACTCTGTTGCAGCCACCACTCATTCTCATTGAGCAAATAGTTTGATTCTAGGCACCTGGGAACAAATCAGAGCTAGCAAGGACCTACACTTACCTTATTTAAGAACAGAAAGCCAAAAGAAAGCAGAGTTCTAGTCACATTAATATGCAGCAGAAAATATACAGAATATACAGAAGAAAAAAAAATAAAAAACAAAACCCACACAGTACACTGCTGACAAGAAGGCTTTAAAATTTATTGGCTTCTTCCTATGCTCATTTACATGTGTCTGCACTCTGGCCAATTCAGCAACGTTACTAGGGGATCCATTTGTGGAAGTGTATTGCATATTCTGAATGAAGCTGACACAATTACAAACAGAAAGAAGCTATATCCACACATGTATTAGAAATACCACATAATTATAACAGATTCTTAATGTAGTCTGAAAGACCAATGTTCATTAATTTTAATATTACTCCACCATTATTCTCAAGAATTTAATTGACATTCTAGACATCATGGAACACAGCACACAAGAAACACTTCCAAAGGAACTTTATGAATGCTAGTATTTTATTTTAATGATATGCAGAGTGGAAACAACCCATTTTGAAATCTGAAATCAATTACATCTCTGCAAAGCTATAGAAAAAGATTTTAACTCTCTCAAATCTATCTGTAATCCAAACTAGCAAAATATACTCTCTCTAAAGAAAGCAGTTTTCAAATGTGACATTCTCCCCTTTCACACAGGAGAAAAGCAATGATTAGACAAAACTACTACAAAAAGCTTAGCATCTCTCTAACTTTTGGCAGACACTAAAGAATACCTGTCTCCAGCACCACCTGAAGGACCTGTCTAATCAGCTTTTACTGCAAATTAGTACATCAAATGAGGCAAGAAGTGAAAGATAATTTATGTGCCATATATACATTTTAATGACATGATGCTATATAGCCATTTTCATCCCTTGGGATAATCTGGTAAAATGCCTGTAAGAAAAGAACATACTTAAGTATTTGCTTGGGCAGGCATAGGAAATTGAGAAGACTGCACTAACTCCAAGGCTACAGAACCACTCTGACAATTTCTCTAATCTGTTATTCCATGCAAAGTGCAGCAAATAGCACAAGGCATACTGATAATTTTCTCATGCTGTTGTGAAACAAACAGGGATACTGTCTGCAACAAATATGAAGTAATCTTCCCTCTCTACCCAGCAGTGGCAATGGTTAGAGGGATACTGCAAAATTTGGAAAACTATTTCCAGAAATAAGGGAGTAAATTGGGAAAAAAAAAAAAAAAAAAAAAAAAAAAAATGACCAATAGTCTAGAAATTATGACATACATGAAAAGATTAGGAAGTAGCCTAAAAAGAAAAAAAAAATAAATTGGAGGAGAAGATAGTGACTATCTTTGAGCTTGCTGAAATTTTTTTCTCTATGTCAAAAGTAGACAGGACCAGAAAGAAATGTTTCAAGAAAAAAATCAGGAAGAAAAAACCTTTCAGACAGTAATGATAGCCAACTACTGAAAACAGATGCTCTGGGAAGATTTTAAGGTCATCCTTGGAAGACTTTAAAATTCATCTGTACAAGATTTGTAAAGTCAGGAATGACCCAGTGCAGAAAAAGAACCAGCTAAACTCTTCAGGTCCCTTCTACCTCTACAAATGTTTTATAAACAAGGTCACTCTCCTGGTTATTCAGGGTCTGATTTTGTCTTCAAGGAGAGAAAAATACCAAGCCCAGGTTTCCTATTTCCCAAGCAGGTGCAGTAATGTGAGTTAATGGGTTTTAAAAAAAAAAAAAAAAAAAAAAAAACAAACACAAAACATATTCCTCCTTTTGTGTAGAACCTTGCCTAATAGTTATACTTCATAAATGACTACCAGATTGTACCAGACGGGTCCTGGCTGATAACACAGACTGTGCTGATGCACACAGCACTCCTTAACAGTCCAGAGCTACAAATGCTCAGACAATAAGACACTTACAGGGCTTTACCGATCAAAGGTAAAGGACTGTGGGAGGCTTCATGGCAAGGAACACCTTTCCAGGGAGGTGCTTAAATCATTTATTTGGTATGTTTTTGTAGATTTAGCTTCGAGTCCACCTCTTTCAGTTGTGCACCTCTCCACAGTAGAGGTTCAGTTCATGCAGATATTTTGTCTACTGGCAGCAATTCAACTGTAAATTGTTTGGCTAGAAGTGCACAGCCTGGTAAAATGCAATAGATTTATTCTTCAGAACACATGCTAATGAGTAGCTTCAGAGAAGTCTCCACTTGTTACTAAAACCTTCAGCCCATCACTATCTGCCTGAGAGGTTTCAAAAGGGAGAATAAGAGACGTAGCACCTCTGACTCCTCATTTTCACATGTTTGTAATGAGATTTTTGACAGCCAGTACCCTTTTTCTCACCTCTCTCAGCAGGCCTAATGCATCAGTTCTTTCCAATTTGAAACTCAGCCCACTACTTTCCTCATCTCTGAATCTGCTCTACAGAAACTCTGCACCTAGTGTTTGTGAATGCTTTACCCGTGTGGACTTTGTTGTGGATTTGTCAAACACTACACAGCATCCAGAGTAACAGTTAGAAGGCAATTCTTCCCAACATTTGGGAAGTACAGGATTCTTCAGGGACTGCACTGCATCACAGCCCTGGTGTTGTGCCTCAATTACTTCTGCTTTTAAGGGAAATCTTTTCATGAACATTATACCTGCATCATTTTATCACTTCATACATCCTATGCAGTGCACATGGCCAGTTCTTCAGCTGATATTAAATGTCCATGAACTTACACTGATTTACATCAGCTCGGGATCTGAGATGTCACAGTATCAGGAATACTTTCCAAACTGATCTCTTATTTTTGTCTTGGTACTGTATACAAAACAATGCACTGTCACAGAGCTAAAGATCACATTTTGCCATTACAAAGTCCATTTCAAAACAGCATGCAGGATGCATGAAAGAAAAGACTCATTACAAAATTACATGAGCCACTAAATCAGTGGAATTAAAGAAGCAAAACATAAATAATTTAACTATAAATAGTGCTAAAATTTGAGTCAGCCCCATCAGTCAGATGCCATCTATTTCCTCCTGGGCTTCTAAGAGAACGTGAGCTCAAAGCAACTTTTGAGGCAGCGCACAGGTCTGGATTAAGTATCTTACCTACAAATGAAAATTTAAACCAGATCTTGCTGCTGCCAGAAACGTTCCTCTTGTGAGCAAATGAAGGTTAGACAAAGACAGTGCCTCTACGTTGTTATTATTTTTACTATTTTAGAAATTGTTTCTTAGAATTGTGTGTCTGCTAGCTGCTTACAGAATCCATCCACAGTTTCACTGACATACTCCCTTAGATCCTTGAATCAAAACAATACAGTTTCGCAACTTGCTGTTCTGAAGATTTCCCTGAACATAAGAAAATCGAGCTGGTTTTGATCAATTAATCAACAGTTACTCTCTAACTAGGACTTGACTGTTTTGCAGATGATATAAATAAGAACAAAAAGTTCTGAAAATAAGATCCATGTGATCCTATTTTAGTAAGCACAACAAAATTATTGAATAACAAAAATAATTCAGAAGGACACTAATAAACATACACTTTAAGCTAGTGTAGATAAATATTATTCCTATTTTAAAGAGGACAAGCTGAACTGCCATGTGAAGTACTATTGTCAATGACTGGCCACAGTCTGCAGTAATAACTATTACAGTTTATGCTAACACTGATATAAAAAATCCACTTGAAGAGCAGCAAATCAGATTTCTATACATGTGTAGAAATACCTTAAAAATGTTTGCTAAAATCCTGTGAACAACTACATGATTGATCTCTCTGCCTCTCTATCCTTGTGCTTCTGTCATGGTCCTATAACCTACTCTGTGACTTTGTCACTGTGAGTTGCTCAACATATTTTTGATGTTGCTTCCAGAATAAGTCTTATATGGCCAATACACCCATATTCATAATTAAACATTCATACAACATTAACAGAGTCATTTATTACTAATCTTATTAATGAAATACTAACAATGGTCCCATAGCTAAAAGCCTGCTTCCAAAATTAACTTGTTCTGAGGTCTAGGCATGTCATCTGATATTTCTATAGTTAATTGACTTTTGTATTAAATTACACTATTCATACTTATATCTTCTGTCCTTCCAAATATGAGACATCCCTTCCATCAGATGACAGGAGCTGAGCAAGAGGGAGACAGGCTGAGCAGAAGACAGCAGAGGGGCAGGGATGCCAGGGCACAGCTGGAGAGACGTGTGGGTTTAGAAAGACTCCCTGGAGAAAAAGAACCCTGCAGGACAGCAACCATCAACACCACTGCTTCTCCTCTCACTACAGCAAATACCAGCAGGGAGCAAGGTTGCAGGATAGGAAGATGGCCATGGTCTGATTCTGAAATTTGATGCATGAAAGAAGATTGCTACTTCTGTGCAGTCTCTCTAGTTTTTGAAACTTTCCACACATAATATACCATCTCCATATCACGGCTCTGAGACTGTAACATGCAGCATACTTACATGTACCACCAGGACCTCTAAGAAAGATCAGAGGTCAAGAGGGCCTCTCCTCAACCTCATAAGTCATTGTGGCCCTATATACTCCGTGAAACAATGCCCCACCAGGCAGGGGAAACTGGTCTGCCACATTTAAGTTACTGATGACCTCCTTTGGTACAAATTTGTGAAGAGACTGACAGGGTCTATCATCTCCCATTCACGCTTTCCCAGCACAGCCCTGGAAAATTCCTGTGCTCCCAGCACAGCAACACAGACTCTCTCCATCTTTCACACACAAGTTGGGAGCTGGGACACTTACAGTCCCCCACGTCCATAGTCCTCCAAAGCACAGCGGAGGATGTAGTCTCTCCACTGACATCATAACTTCATTTAACCCAAACGCGATGCAAAAAATAATTCACACAAAACAGAATAAATATCCTAAATATGCAGAATGTTGGCAGAACATCTGAAGCAAATTATAATTTCATCAGAAAATAACCTACTTTTTGTCTTCAGGTTTAATGACAGATGGATCTGTAAGGTTTTCCCCAACACCTACAACGAAATCAACAGTGTGTGTTAAAAAGTAAAGTAGTCACAATCCCATGAGCTGGCACTTAAAAATGTAATTATTCTTTTCTTTGTACATCATAAAGTGTCATAGTTAAAGTGGTCATGAGTTAAAAAGAAAATGCTACAAGTATAAAAATCTGTTAGGTGTTGGCAAATATATAGAGTTCTTATTACAGCCCTGACTTCAGCTGCTTTGACGTTTATTTATATGTATACAGAAGGCTTATGCAAATATACTAAATAATATGCTGAAGCTCAGCTAACTAAGCAAAGCATGACCAACAGTGAGATTGCTATTTAAGTCAGAGTAGAGGTATTAATCAGATGTGGATCTTACTGATATCAATAGATGTACTGTCAGATACATGTTCTCTTCAAGGTAACAAACACAACAAGCCACAACTTTGTGATTTCGTGTTAGCCCTTTTTTCTTCTGGGTGGCCATGAAAGCATATTAAATAAATAACTTCATTTTGATACCTGAATGCTGATACCTATGTTGCAGTTTTCCCCAAACTGATGACATACCCCCATTTTACCAAAAAGCTCTTTTCTTATATCTGAGGAAATCATTGTGCTTTTACAAAAAAGTCTGTGATCATAAGATATGCAATTACTTTTATTACAACAGGCCACTGATGATAAGTTTATGCTCTGCAACAAGAACCAGTAAAGACCACAGCAACAGCATATTGTGATTGAAATACCCCCAAATTGCAACACTCTTCAATAAAGGTCATTTCAGTTGATGCAAACGAGACAAAATGTTGTGTATATGTATGCGGAGATGGCCCTGGTATTATATAGTAAAGTGAGATATAAATTAATTCTCTTAGAACTCCAAGGGGAGCAGCCCTTACACTTTTCCTAAACTCCAGATTAGAGAACTACAAGATGAACACGAGGACAAAACTAGAGCAGATTTCAGTTTGTTTGAGATAAAAACTGAAGCTCCAGTCTTGAAGAGATTTACATAGATGTTTAAATTCTCCATGTTCAAGCCAACACAGTTGGTCTGGAACTGTTGAGAGTTGAATAATAAACCCAAGCAAACTTCAGACAGATTCTAGTAGGCTTTGGTGAAGACACACTCTTTTTGTATTTTTTTTTCCATGTGCAGCTAAAACCAAATGAAGGCAAGGATGGAATTATAGTTTTATTTTGCATAATAAGCATGTCTTTTTGTAATTCACAGCTTCTGGATGCTGTAAAATGTAAATATGTTAAGTCTCTGTCTACCCATACATATTTCCCTTGACAGAAATGACAAACAATAGTGTTTATACTGTTTGATGGGTGATGTTCATCTTCTGAACATTGTCAACTGTTATCTCTTTAAAATATGCCATGCTCCCACTTACAGATATACAGTAAAGTGATCACCTGCTCTTTGATGGAGTCACCAGACTTTGTGAATAGAATTCAGGCTTGCAGCTTATGTAAACTGCTTACAGATTTATTAATATGAAAAATAAAAAAAAAAAATACAGATAGCAGTTCACGCACTTCTGACAGATACACTCTTACATTAAGTGTGCATATATACATGGGTATTCTTGAATCTCTGTATTATTTATATATCTTAATAAAAATACCTTAACTGTGGAGTGTTTTTTTGGAGCTGGCTGAATTGTTCCTGCATACTTTATCAACCTGCTCTTCTGTCCATTCAGCCTAGACATATTTGAAGTCAAATTATTTTCTCATTACACCTACATTAATGTAGTGTGTTTCTGCGGACACACATTTATCAGTGCTGCGCAACAGATATCCCTGGGGTTTCTTGATCTTTGCCAGTAGGTATATGAGAAGATAATTTGTCCCATTCCTCAGTATTAAATTCTCTTTTGAGAGAATGGCTTTTCATTGGTTTCAAATAGTGATCCCATGCTGTCACCTTGCAAATCCAGGACGAGGAGCTCTCCACGAGTGTACACGTAGGTCCAGTGAGAGAAGGCCAGCATTAGTTCTTCCAGCAAGCTGCTGGGAGTAATCTCATCTCCATTGTTGTTGTTGTATTTCCGAAACTCGCCAGTCATATACTTCTCAATGGTCAGCCACTGGTTTGCTGAGTGACAGTAGATAAGGAAAACTTCCAGGAACCTGTAGATATAAATGCAGTCCATCAGGAGCTGACAGGGTAATGAAGATCCTCACAGTCAGCACACGGCACGACGCACAGCAAATACACCAAAAGAAAAATATGTCTTCCCTAGCTGGAGCATTTTGAACAGCAGGAGGTAGCAAATGGTAGACAGCACAAAGGCTTTCTTGGTTTGATAACTCTCAGAACAAAGCATTTGATCAGCAAGTATAGTTTGTGGACAAACAACATAATCTCATTTCCTCCAGCCCACTGTAAATGAGCTATATGAAATTGTCTTATCTTAATTGTATAAAAGGCAATTCTCGCTTAAGTCTAAAGAATGGCATTATGAAGAAGCCTTTTTTGTCATCACATGTAGCTATAAAGACAAAGTTCAAAGCTGCCTACACTTCCTCTTAAAAAGTTGATTAACTATCATTAGACTGTCTAAGCAGCAGCTATTTCAACCGACTACAGAAAAGGAGACTGCACTAGACATTGGAAACCTTTGACATCTAATACTTAAAGACAGTGATTTTTACCTTGGAATATAGGGAATAGTATGAGGCTTCACTTGATTGAAGGTATAGATTAACTTCTGGGCAGCCCTTTGCTGTTGGATCTCCTGAAGAAAATAATGTTGTAAACATCACTTTCATTTTAATGAAGAAAAGTGCCACGAATTTGTCAAAATACACACACACATACACCCCTGATTGTATACTGTTTACAAATGGGAGATATATCTTCCTCAAAACCTTTTTACTTTCCAAAATATAACATCAATCCACATGTCAACCATGCTGAAGACATTCATATGTAAGCAGTATAACATTTAAGGCACATCAGGCTAGACCAGTCAGTGTGCCTTCAGGTCTGAACTCACCCTCAGGCAGAGATGTAACACTGTGCCATCATGAAAGATCTTTTGCCAAGTCTGAACCACCTCTGGCAGAAAAGACTTCACAATAAATACTTGTCCCAACTTTAATATATCATTCTCAGACCATGTACAAATGACCTTCATGGCCCTCCGCAGACCCCCATCCATCTCCTCCCGTGACAAGACTTGGATCATTGCAGCCATACCACGCTGGGACCAGGAAGACATGCTTTTATCAAGGTTCATAGGTGAACTTTCTTCTAGCCGATAGACCGTCACTTCCTCTCCAGCTTAAATAAAAGAAGGTTTTGTTAGCAGAAGTCACACATTGCACAAACAGGAGAGAACTGCATTTTGATTTGGTGTCTTAAAATAACATACCACTTTACACATCTCTGTAAGCCACACCTGAAGAGACCTTTTTTATCACTACTGTTCATCTGTGCAAAAACTTCCCCATTCTACACTTACACTACTTACTACATACACTCTGCTTAAGATCTACTGTGATAACGTAAGTGGTTCAAAGAGCTTTTATTAAGCTTCTAAACAGAAATTAATTTAAGATCTCCTGGACACTTATGCACAAACAAAGCTCATTTATATAGACCAGAATATGAATCAATCTCATTTGCCACAGTTTTTTGAGTACTTAAAGCTGATTGAACTTTAAAAGTACATCTTTTTAAAGGGTTATCATTTTATCTCCAGTGCATGTGTTTGAAAATGGATGAAGGGAAAAAGAAAAATTATTTAAGGTAGTATAAGAACTTAAGCGATCAGTTGAACACCTGCAACATGTTGCCCTTGAGCTCGTCAAGCATGATAAACACCTCCTGGGAAATGAGTATATGGAGAGGCTCCATGCGTAAATTGGGAGACTCCTAATTAGAAACCCCTGTCCTTGAAGATTAAGGCCTTCTGAAAAATAGTGGACTAGCTGAAGCTAGGCAGGTAATGAGAAAGTGCAAACCAAAGAAAGGCCAGTTTCAAAGTGTAGACAAGGTTCAAGAAAGGCTCTTCTCTAAAGACCAGCAGAGACCATTAGAGACCACCACCAACCCCTATGGAAGCCCCCCCAGAGACTTAAATTGCATGCACAGTAACTATGTAAATACGATAGTGAGTTTTGGGAAATTTGAAGAATATGTATGTAACAGAGTGATATAAGCTTTGGTTATTGTAATGTATGGTGGACTGTTAGGTGGAATGATTCCCTCTTTCCTGCTCATTAATACTAAACCCAGCTTTAAGTTTTCATTCCTGATTTAGGTGTCAAATTTTGGCGACTCAGGTGGGACACTGCCTATGAAGCTCAACAGATTCACAGAATCGTGAGGACTCCGTCACCACTGAGGTGTTCTTCCGATCCCCTGATCCCGTGAGCTTAGGTTAAAATCTCTGGGGTTTTTTAAGGCATTACTAAAGGTAATCCAGATTGCAGGATTCAGTCCCGCCTAGAAAAGCCTGTCTGTAAAATGTGATGGGAAAAATTCCCACAGGACTAGGCTATTGAGGGAAATCTGGGAAAGAAGTCTAGATTGGATGTTACTACGAGGATGCCCAGAGTGCCAGCCAGGATACTGAAGGGTATTTGCCACTGTACATTTGTAATTATTATCTTCTATGAGTGGTTTTGTTTGTTCTGTTCTTGTGTACCTATTTTGGTGACACATGAACTTTAAGTATCTTGAGTGTGGCTCCCTCTGTTTATGCACTCGTGTGGAAGGGGAATTTTTAGGAAGGCTAGTTTTAAGTGAATCAAGATCCATGAAACACAATCTTTACCTTGCAACTGTTCCTTACAAAAAAAAAAAAAAAAAAAAAAAAAAAAAAAAAAAAACACAAAACCAAAAACATAAACAAAAAAAAAAAAAACACAAATAAACAAGATAAACACAAACACAGAGCTTGTAATAGTTATTGACTACAAAATTAAAGGGCTGGACAGTGCCACCTTTTGACACAGACAGCCCAGTTGCTTCAAAAGTGGTGATGTAGCCCCAATGAGCCAGTAAAGTTAGATTGAAAAGGACATGACTTCCCTTGGAGAAAGGAATCCTAGGAGAACAAGCTAAAGCAAATTAACAGGAAGTTTACAGTTTTGGTGTTTTGAACTAATATTTTTCTTTTTCCTAGAAATTCCAATATTATTTGTACAGCATAAAATTTCAGATGTCCTGCTCCTGCTAGTAACATTTTTCTGAAAGCAGAAAAAACACAGTGAGCTTTAACTCAGTTGCACTCTGCTTCCCTATGTAATTGTAACAGCATTCCTCTCTTGCAGTGAGACACTTTTTCTGTTGCCGTAATTTGTAAACGAAAAGTGGACTGATTTTTTAAACCTGGCTTTCCTTCTTGCAACTGACATTATCTGCAATGTTAATTTGTAAGAAACAGGTTTTTACTGGCAAGTGAGATGAGGTAACTACATCTGCAAAATGGCAGAGAATAGCATAAGGAAGGACAAACTAGATTCAGACTAGTAGACTTTCTCCCTGCTCCCAGGCCTACCTTCGCCAGTTAGCACAAATGTAGATGCTGTCGAACACCACAATTTGTGCACATTTTAATTTAAAATACAGCAAAGGAAAAGGCAGTATCTTACATAAAAGACAGACACTTGAATAAAGATACTATAACAAGACACATTTTTTAATCTTATATTAATTGTTCATTTTATTATCTTTTGACAATTTAATACCTAGAAAGGTGTATCCTGGGAGCTGCAAAGATTAGAGTGTTCAATATGCTCATAGCTATATTAATTATCTGCAGCAATCTGCTCCCAAGAAATCCTATGATGCTGCAAGTATCAGCAATTAGTTGCTGTGAGACAAAATATTCTACCCATTGAAAACAAGGCACCTAGATCTCAAGAGTCTAGAGGCAGAGCTTCTGCTGCTGTAAACTAATAATGCACACTAATTTCAGTACTATTCCAAACAATTTATGTATTAATCTCTACCACACTTCAGTTAGAGCACCGTTCTTTTTTCCATCATACAGTACAAGTCTTCTGTACCAGATACAGGAACAGGAACAGTACCCTTTCAACCAATACTTAGTTTTCTTCTTGATGGGATACCTTATATATATATATATATATATATATATATATATATATATATATATATATATCTATCTATATATATATCTACATGTGTGTGTGAGAGAAAGAGAGAGAAACAAAAAGATAATGCAGGTATCAAGGTTAAGGGGAATCTTTTTGTTGACTTCAGCTATCCTAATGGTAGATATAGAGAAGACAGGGTTAGACTCATCTCTGAGGTTGAGATTAATCGCATGAATGCCAACGGATACAAGCTATAGCATGGGAAACCCCAAGAAATACTGGGGAAAATACCAGGTTCACAATGAAGTCAGTCAAACACTGGAAGAGGCTGTCCAGTGAAGCTAAGGGATCCACATTTATAGACATATTCAAAATGCAATTAGACAGGCCCTCAGTAACATGATCTGAATTGGCTGTAGAGGGAGTTGGACCGGACGACCATCAAAATTCCCTAAATTACTGCATAACTACAATTCTATGCTGGTTCATCCTTTTTTGAAAAGAATTGCTGAAATTAATCCAAGGAAATTTCTCAAACAAAAATCTTTTCTTTAAAAAGATAACACACTGACTATTTATAAAGCAAAAAACATAACTAGAAGTTGGTACTCACCAAAGAGCTGGACTGGTGTAAATGGTATGGTCTGAGCAAGTCTCATTAAGTTGTTCCTTTCAACAGCTGCAAACGACATAGATTTCACTATTATAATGAATAAACAACAAGATGGTTGAGTTTCAGAAACATCTGGTGGCACTTTACTGTAGTGCACAAAGCCAAGGAGGCTGCAGTGTGATCCTGTGTCAGATCTGATCACCCTCCTACACAGCCAGCAACTCCCCTTTGCACACCATTGGTATCTTACAAGCATCAGCTGCCACTCTCCCATTCATTGATGCCTTTTTCCAAGGAAACAGACCCTCTGGGGCAAGACCCTGGCACCCTGCTTCTGCTAACTCTTCATCCTCCTCCTTCCACCAAGGGCTGCTGCTCTTTCCTCCTCCTGCCAGCTCCAGTGCAACAACATTCACACTGCCAGTGAGATGCACTGACCCCAGCTGCCCTCACTGCCTGTCTCATCAGGCTCAGAAGCACCTGGGGACTTAGCAAGGCATCACAGGAAAACCTTGTTTCTTTCATCTGGGCTCCTTGACAAACAACATCAGTAACGTTACTGTATCTCCCTAATTGGCAGCTTATTTCTCAGGCAAACACCTTCAAAACTTCAGTGTCCTCACAACGACTTAATTATCAGGAAGGGGGAAAGACATGTGAAGTAAGCCACAAAGAGGGTAAGACTAGAACAAAGAGGCAACTCGGACGTTACAGTGCTGACTGCCTAATTTCCTTATCCAATGGCTGAAGACAAAACTAGCATCCAAAGCAGAGAGCAAATCGCAGCAGAGCTGTGTTTCTCTGCAGAGCAACCAAAAAGCCCTGATGGCAGACTCTTCCAGAGCTTGGACACCATCTGTCCTTCTTTTTAAGATTAATTCTCTAAGCTGAAATTAATTAAGAGATTATTTAGCCCAGAAGGAGAGAGCAAAGGGGACCCATGACAGGTTAACCCATCAATTAGGGTTCTCATTTGAGCAGATCAGCTTTTCAGATCAAGTCTTGTTTACATATTCTGAATTCAACGGGCATTGGTTAACATGCCTGAATATCTTAGGAGCATGGACTGAAAATCAAGGTCCTCTTTTAAGGCCTCACTAGGAACATGCTCTAGTCACAAAATTAGTGCATAGCAGGGACAAGGATGTGAACAGGGTAGCTGCCAAACCTGTGCCATCTGTCAGGCCCTGCCAGCACTTACTCTAGAGCCTCGAGAAGCAGTGTGAAGTGGACTTGCACCAGCTGCTGAGCTTGGGTCAAAACTTGGGTTTTTTTGGGTGTACAGAGAGGCAGACTGTATTTGTCTGTACAACGTGATAGCAAAAATAATGCATAAGCAGTTTATGGTGCAGGATTTTAGTATCAGACTTTTGTGCTTAGTTAGCGAAGTTCTATCCCAATCTTCCAGAGAAAAGAAAACCTACATTGGAAACATCTCAAGATGTTTGTCAACTCATAATGGAAACCACTCTCATCACTGCTAAAAACTCCTACCTAATCTCAAATAGTGTGCCTGATGAGAGCCAAATTAATCACTGCAACAGTGCTACGATGTCAGAGAAACTACTCCTATACACTGATTACAAACCAGGAAGTGTTATTCCCAGTGAAAATCACAGAGTTTTTTGCACTTCAGGAGGCTGCTAATGCCCCTGGTTTACCCTAGGCTTCCCTTGAAAGGAGGCCAAGTCCTGTGGGCAAGAGAGACATCTACTGACGAGCTCTGCTCATTTCTCCTCCAAGGGAAACCTAAATCCAAGCCTCCCGGGAATAATCCATGCATACTCTGTTCAGGAAAAGACAGGACTGCAGGCAAATAGCATTCAAATGATTTATTCCCTGCCAGATTTCCAAGAGTTCATAGGTATATAAACACAGATTAAGTAGCACAGGACCAATTAGCTGAAGAAACCAATTCTAGCAAGTACAAAGGAGGATGTGGGAGGTGTGAGGGGAAGTGACAGCTATAAACAAGCAAGTGCCTCTTCTGCCCCCCCCCCAGGAATCGGAGCTCTGTTCAGTGTTTTCACTGATATTTTGAAAGTGATTATGTGCATTCTGCTCTGGATTTGCCAGAAATATCCAGGATGAAGCAATTAGCAGCAAGAAAATAATTTGTAATTTCCTCACTGGATGTTAGGCATGAATTAACACAGAACCTTCTCAGCAGTGGGCAATTGTGCAACTCTTCAAAATGAAAATCACACGGGATGACAAGGGAAAAACTAAAGTTCTTTTAAATTTGTTAAATTACTCAGCTATCATTTCTGTGCCTCCTGCCTTACCCGAGTAGTGATGATGCAGATCTTGAGATGTTTTCAAGCAGGAAAAGATATCTGAAATAATGTTTAAAGGATCATTATGTTAATTATTATAGCAGAGAAAAATGCATGATTTTTCAATTCCTTCCATCCCAGAGTTTGTCATTAAACAGATTAATCAGAATTACTATCTCAGCATTCTAAAGAGGAGAATTACTAATAGGCTTTAGCTACATTATAATGTATAGTATATTGGCAGATTTCAGTCACCAATGTAATATAGCCAGATGACTTATTTATTCAGGGAAATGGTGGGAAACTTGTGATATTAACCTCAAGGACATGTAGCTTCTCTAAGCCAATTATACCTCTGGGATATTAAAAGCACTTTGGTGTCCATCATGCTTCGCAGCCTCCCAAAGGCATGATTTTTCCAACTCCATCCTCAGTCATTAAGCATTCCATTAACTATAGTATTACACCAAAGTTATAATAATACTGTCCCATCAACCCACAGCATCTAAAATGCTGTTAAAATATAAACAGATTAACAATTTCTGTAGGTACATATTTAACAGGCACAGCCAGATCAAATCTGGTGCAAAAATCTTTGCTTTATAAAAAGTCTTTTTAATAAAACCAAGATTAATGAGCATGTTTCCATTAATTAGATGAAATCACTTTGTTGTATTGAAAGAAAATCCTTCAAAATGACAGATTTCAGAAAATACATATACTGTACTACTTTTCATTCTGAAAAATTAGATAATCAAAACTGAATCTTCATCAAAATACATGAACGTTACACTTTTCATTCTGGTGTATTTTATTTGCTTATATTCCCTTTTCTAGCAAAAGAGATCTTAAAAATATAAATACATGTAGGGGGAAGGGCCAGCATTTCCACATTCAAGGTCCCTTTTGCTCTGTTTCTTGCTGGACCCAAATAGTTTTGTTGGTTTTGTATGCTGTAAAACAACAGACATGAAAAAGGGAAGGGGGGCTAAGTCATTCATTCTGAGGATAGTAGAACTGGATTTTAGCCAAAGCAATGGTGCACTCTAGAGAGTAGCCCCACAGCTCACTACACTTGCAGCAGTGTGCTTCAGCACTGCAGCGTTTTCTGAACAGCCAGACCCAGAAAGAGCAGTGCTTGAAGGGGAGGTAAGTCTAGAAGTGACTCATTTCTGCATCACCACTAGCCTCAGAAAGAGACAGGTGCCCAGCTGCTCAGCCTCTTACAGGTAAGTGGCATGTCAGGAAAGCTGGAAGATAGACTAAACAGCAATAAATACAAGTGACGTTAACTAGCACCCTACTTTTGTTGAATGAAGTCATTCCTTGCTATAGCTGTACGTTCCTTCATTGGTCATTTCATAAAAAAAATCAATCATTCACTGATTTCATCATTTCAGGGAAAGCACACAAAGAGAGGAATTACACCAAACTGCAACTTGAAAAATCAGGAAAAAAATTTTATATCACAGTCTATCCTCAGGTATACATTCTGTTTTAACTCAGGAGGTCTCTTAGACTGGCAGGGATGAAAGCAGCACCATTATCTTAAAGAGTTTCTTCCTGCTAAAAAGGACATTACTGGGCAGACTAGAATAAATATATATATTATATATATATATATATATATATATTTTTTTTTTTTTAAGACCTTGCAGTTATCATGAGGAAAATATGTCCTCACAAAAAAAACTTTTTCACATTAAAGTACAAATTAGTAACTAACACATGAAACAATAGCTGAACATTTTCCTATAATCCTCTAACTACAATAAATTAACTTCCTTTTGGATTTAGTACTTCAGAATTGACAGATTTGCAGAGAGGAGTTAAAATGAGTGACAAGCAACCAAAAACTTACTATCAGTTTCCTCTGAAGCTCTCAACCTGTTTAAAAGCAAACATTTGATATTTTATTCCAAAATTTCTGTCATTAAGCTAACACGGGTACATATAAAGAGATGTGATCTATGTAAAGGAACACTCACAAAGGTTTGATCAGCAGTCATAAAACAAAATAACTCTCAGTGCAACTTTGTTCATTGCAACAATCAGCAAATAATCTTCAGTTACTGAAGAATAGCTACATTTTTCTGCATGTTTCTTCCTCTGCTTTATGTTGAGCTGTTCTTATGATTTTGCACCGCTGTTCGTATCGTTTACACTGCAATAACAGTATCAGCTAAAGACCACTTCAATCACATACACAATTGTTCATTTTTCAATCAATCCTGAGATGTATTCAGAGCTACATACACCATTACCATTGCTTGCACAAAAACAGACTTTTTAAACTGATGGTCCTTTGGATTAGCAAGGCTGCAGAAAGACCACAGCATCAGCATTAACATTAAAGCAGTCTTTGTTACCAAAGACAGTGGATATGATTCACCTCACAGACCACAGAGATGCCACTGAAGACAACAAAGTGACAGAATCAGGCCACTCAAATGCCTGTAAGTCCTGCTGGAAAGTATGAAGTTTGCCTACTGCCTATAAATGACTGTGTAAATCCCCCAAACAACCACAGGATCGGTAAAAAAACACAGTATCTTTTTATCTCTTCCCATGGTGAAATCATATGGAATGTGTCAGGTTTCTAGTGCCTTTAATTATTACATCCTCAGTGTTACTAAGAGATACAAAAGAAACTGATGAAGATAAGAAAGAAAAGGAACATATAGACATCACTTCATGTGGAAAAAATGCCCCCAATATTAACATAATGATCAATCAAGCTGGGAAAAAAAAAAAAATCAAAAAACCTACAATAAAACTGAAAACACTTCTGAAATCAGTGTATTTTCACTAAATACAATCAAAGCTTCATAACTATTGAAAACCCGTTATGAAAACCAAGCTAAATATTTTGTAAATGTGCAGACCTGGTACAAAAGAGATTAATCAGAGAATGACAGAAGCTTTCAGGAGCTGCTAGCATTTTAATTATTGAAAAAGGAAACATGCAATTTGCACAGCAAAAGCAAATGCAACATTTCATGCTTGCTAGATTGGAATAATGGCTAGTTAAAGATTCTATGGTGATCTTAGTGACTGAATTAGAAAATTGGATTATTGTTAGAATAAAAAGGGGTGTCTATTTCACCTAAAATTATAGAATCATAGAATGGTTTGGGTTGGAAGGGACCTTCAAGATCATCTAGTCCCAAGCCCTCTGCCAAGGGCAGGGACACCTTCCACTAGATCAGGTTGCTCAAAGCCCCATCCGACCCAGCCTTGAACCCTTCCAGGGAGGGGGCAGCCACAGCTGCTCTGGGCAACCTGTGCCAGTCTCATCATACTCACAGGAAAGAATTTCTTCCTAATATCTAACCTAAATCTATGCTCTTTCAGTTTAAAACTGTTATCCCTCATCCTATTCACTACACTCCCTGATAGAGTCCCTGCCCGTCTTCTCTGTAGCTCCCTTTAAGTACTGGAAGGCCACCAGAAAGTGTCCTGTGAGCCTTCTCCTTCTCTTCTCTTCTTCCCCAACTCTCTCAGCCTGTCCTCACAGGGGAGGTGCTCCAGCCCCTGATCCTCTTCATGGCCCTCCTCTGGACCCTCTCAAGCAGGTCCATGTCCTTCTTATGTTGGGGGTCCCACAGCTGGACACAGCACTGCAGGGAGCAGGGTAGAGGGGTACAATTCCCTCCCTCGACTTGCTGGCCACACTTCTCTTGAGGCAGCCCAGGACACAGCTGACTTTCTGGGCTGCAAGCACACATTGCTGGCTCACAGTCAGTTTTCCATCCACTGATACCCCCAAGTCCTTCTCCCACAGGGCTGCTCAATTCACTCATTTCCCAGCCTGTATCCCTGTTTGGGATTGCCCGGATCCATGTGCAGGACCTTGCACTTAGCCTTGTTAAACTTCATGAGGTTTGTACCTAAAGTTATACCACTTTGTTTATATGGATCTTCTTTATCTCCATTAATAAGTTTTCATTTAAAAAAAACTTAAACAGACTGAACTGCCTTAACTCTTTGTTTCACATAACTTCTCATCCTAAGTATATTGCAGAACTGAAGTGGAATCCTGCAGAAAGTATAGAAGTTTTTTTCTAAAAGCATATGATGAATATCTTTATATACTAATAATACATACAAGGAGTTCCTGTTCAGATTACTTTTCTTGGTGGTTCCAAATACGCTATTACTCAAATCCTGTGAAAAAGAGAGATACTTTTACTAGTAAAATCTACACATCACTGTCATATACACAGTGAGCAATTCAAAAAGATACAATCTTGAAAACACTTACTGATAGGCTTATTGTTAGCATGAATAATTACATTGACAGGCAGGTGAATCACAGCATTGCTATACCTACACTAAAATGGAACTGTTGCTCATGTTACAGTTTTCCATGCTGTCTCCATACACTTGAATAAAATACTCAGGTACCCACCTATATCTCCATACACTCATAAAAGAATGTTAAAGATCTTCTAAGATAGACAGTACTAGATAAATCTATTTATATTGGAAAATTCCAATTTACAATAGGCTTTATCTACAGTTATTGAAAATAAAATACACTCTAAATCTTTATAACAGAAGAAGGTAACACACTGAGCAGCTTTCCAGTGATATTTAGATCACATATTTTCCAGGTCTTATAGTTAAATAAGTACTCAAATAGTCTTTTAAACTTCCAGTCATATTAGGGAAAATTGGGCCAGCTAGGTCCTCCTAATGTACTAGTCAGAAGTGGGACTACTCTTCTGAATAGTAGTCATTAGTCTCAAAAGAAACAGAGCCCCCTAAAAAAGTTCAAAGATGACAAAGTTTAAAGATAAATTAAATAAAATCCAGCTTTGAATATTATCTGAAACTTAACTCACCATTTTTTATTTTCATTCAAATTTTCACCTTGTAGGTTGCTTTGCAGATGAAAAAATCTTTAGCCAAACCAAAATCTTCCTACACACACCCTTGCTTTGCTCCCTGATATGTACCGGGAGGGATTTCTGAACCACTGGTGTTCAATGGGTAAATCTGAGAAATAGCACTTTAAGAAAAATACCTTTCTTTAAAATATATCACACTCCAAGCAGAACACAGTTGGATGCAACAGCATTGTTACATCTCAGCGATATATGTAAAATCTCATAACCCAGACAGGACGTAAGGTAAGGCATAGTGACTGAGTGGATACTGGAGGCTGTATCTTAAAAGAATAAATAATTTGGTGTTCTGGAAGTGACTAGATTCAGCCTAATTCCAATCCTGCTGTAATCAGTGGAATTTTTCTGAGAACTTTAAAAATCCCACCCCTGAGTTCTACCCAAGACACCCTAATATGAGTTTTGAAGTATCATATTACTTGGTCCCTTCACGCAGTTTTCCTGACTGTACCTTTATTTTGCTTGTCTGACCCTGTGTTTCTCATTTCAAAGATTTATTGATTTAGACTCCAAACTCAGGTTTTACAAAATATAAAATCAGTAAATTTATTTATCTTCCTCTCTCACTCTCTACTCTTTCATAAAAAAACCCTGTAATTTTAAAAATTTAGGTTCAAACCCTCTTCCCTGGTATTCGAGATTCAAATTCTACAGTACTCAAAACAGAAGATCTGGAACTATCTAGTCTGTCTAGTTTATTTTTATTCCTTAGAAAACCAAAACAAGACAAAAAAAAAAAAAAACACACACACACACACAAAAAAAAAAAAAAAAAAAAAAAAAAAAAAAACAACCTCATAGCATTTACAGTGAAAAATAAGCTAGGCTTTTAAAGATGACCATTTTAATAATCAAGAGTGCTGTAAGTAAAACAGACAAGGAAGGGTGCTGTTGAAAAAGGATTATTTCACCGTTCCTTTTCTTAATTTATTCTTTGTTAATCTCCTTTTGTACCTCTGAAATACCCCTATGCAATGTAATGAAAGACACATCTTCCATTAGCTACACCATTTTAAAAATGATAGAAGTTTCTACAATCCAGATTCCTGCCCCAAGTCTTCAGGAAATATAAATTGGTCTAGCTCCATAAAAGTCCATGAGCCTATGTTGGTTTACATAGGCAGAGTATCTTTACATTATAGAGCTGCAAGTAATTCTGATAAATAATAAGATACACTGTTTATAGGCCAGTAGTTAAGAAATTTAAGCTTTGAAATTATTATCAGTATTTAACTCCCACTTTTCAAGAAAAAAACTTTCTCTGTGTGATCGATTAAGAGTTATATAGCTAACTTCACAAAACTTACTTCACTCTTCACAGGTTCCAGAACAAGCTGTGTGCTCACTCATTGCCTAATGAAACATCAACACGCGTCATTTCTGACTGACTTCTTCATACTCAGAACCACTCGGTGATTCAATAATTTAATATCCTACTTCAATAATCTTAACAGAGTATTAACAGCTGTTAAATTATTCACTTACACACAAGCACTCTGCCTGCAGACAATAAAGTTCCTCATCTCTCAAGAGGTATCTCATGACAAACAACCTATAGTGGCAAATCCAAGGACATCAGTAGAGCCCAAAATATGGGCTAGGATGTGTAATCTTAGGTCTTACCTCTCGAGAATGCCTCAGGTAATCACAGAATGGTATGGTATGCCTACCAGTGTCTTGGGTTTTCATTTTCTGGTGCATATAATTGAGACGTTCCAAACCTAGCCAAAAGAGCAGTTGTCAGCTATTTCCAGAGTGTAACTGAACTGCTCTACTGCTACAAACTAAACACCTATGCAGGGCTATAAAATAAACACTTATATACCATATTGCCACAGCAAATGTGTAATGGTCTGTGTAATGGTCTGTAAAAGCAGCAACAGAATTTCACAGGGTTAAAACAGACTGTTTCCATGCTCTGTCAGCAGATTTTGGAGGAACACAGTCCTCCTCAGAGCATGGTGTGCTGAGTCACAGCATTCCTTGGTGCTTCTCCCAGCAGCTTGCAGAATAAAGCCAGTGAGCTACTTCACAGCAAAGCTGAAAGATAAAATGAACTATGCAAAGGATTTCTGAGAATGAAAGAGCTGGAGAATTACTAAAAGAAGAGTAAGAATACCAATCCCTTTTTATTCCAACAGACATGATACAGAATTCATTTCCTCCCTTTGGAGGATGTGTTTCTGAGCAATGAGTAATGAATAATGCATGCAGAGGATCTGCCAAAAGATACAGTATTGCAGCACTGCCTGTGAGTGTAAACGTCCTGAGAAATTCACAAGAGAGTTTATTTTTGCAATTAGCCAGGATGCCACTTTAGAAGACACCTCAGGAGAGGAGACAAGGATATCATCATCCTTGCTTCCCACTTTTCCTGAGGATTGGTACTCTCTCCCACAGAAGACAGGCAGAACCCCCAGAAAGATTTAACTGATCTTCTACCCAACCTATGTCCCTTTCGCCTCTGCAATGATGCAGCAAATAACTAAATTGTGTGTGCCTGCAGCCTGAGTCTAATTCTGTAAAAATTATGTCATGAGGTGAAAGTGGTGGATGACACTTTGAATTTGTGAATTTTTATTTACTGCTTCTTTTTAAAAGCTGTTCCAGATTTCACCCTCTGCAAAATATCACATACTTAGCTGACTGAAATTAGACACAGAGAGCCAGTTTTTGCTGTGTTTCTCTTGCTCATCCCAGACATTGATCTCTGCAGGCTCGGAGCTCACTTGGGTGTTCTGGGGACAATCATCCACTCTAATCACCTGGCAAGACAGACGAAACGACACTCAATTTATAGGATGACTAGCACCTTTGCAGTTCCTCTGACTGCCTGTGACCTGGCCTTTCAGAGCATCACTGAAATGCCAATGACTGAACTCACTCCCAACTGAGAAAGAGGTTTTCCCATTTTTGTTACAAGTTGTAGAAGACACATTGCTTTTGTCTAGTAAATACTGTTAAGTATCTAGCACTACAGTTTTTTAAAACAAAGTCTGAAATCTCTCAGAACACCTTCAGAGGTATTAGGTCTCAAAGCTCAAGTCTAGGATCTGTTGCCAAAGTCTAGGATCTGTTGCCAACCTGAGCACCTTATGTAAACAAATCAGTCTTCAGCTATCATCTCATTAAACAGAGATGCCTCTTTCCAATTGACAAAGATCCTAGAAATCTCTTTATAACTTTCTAAATAGATTTTTATATAAGTACACACACATATAGTTACAAAAGTTGCTCCACACATATGAGACAATCAATATGATGTCTGCGAAGTGCTAAATGTTTGATGGACTCAGAGAAAAGACTACAGGACTCTTGCAGGCAGGAGGCAACATTACAAGGCCTGACTTGCTTGTTTACAGTGGCACACAGCCTGGATATGGCTCACCACTCCTTCAGTCTACCTTAGATCATATGAAGCCTCCCCAAGTCTTCCTGCCAGCTAATGTGCAAGAAATTACTCCTTTCTGTGTAAAATCAGTAACACCCCTGTGTTCCAGATAGTATACTATCTGGAAAAGGCCAAAGACTTCAACACACTCAAAACTGAAATCCCACACATCCAAACAAAAGGGACATTAAACCAAAGCCAGACACACAAAGAAGACGCCCCAACTTGTGTGAAGCATTTTAAATGTATACAATCTCAACTAAGCCACACTGCAGAACTGCTCTTAACAAATGAAAAATACAACTATGGGATATTTGATTCTCTTGCATCTGCACATACCGGCACTTGAAGGGGTTTTTGATTATTCTTTCCTCTCCCAGACTTTCTGTGTCTGTTTTGTTGTTTTGCTTTTGTTGTCTCACTGTGGTGTAGCTCACTGGATCCTAACGACTCTGTGGGAAAGAGTCAAAAAACATCATTAAGCTACAGAGTTTTTGTTTACCAAGAGAAGACCTGGTAAGACTGAGAGTTGGCAGCTCTCCAAAGCAAGCTGAGAAAGACTTGTGACACCCAAAACTAATACTCATGCAGTTCAGTGCAAAGATGTACACCATCACAAGATATGAAACTACAAACATTTTCCATCATCTCATACAATTCATACTTAGTACTGTATCTGCTGATTTTAGCTCTTGGTAAGCCAGCTTGGTGGTTGACAGGGAGAGTTTTAAACTGGCTATAAAAATGTATACCTCTTCATTCTCCATGCACCCATCTGACCTATGAGACTGCTAACATAGCTCCTAGGGATTGTGTAATTCATTTTGGCTCCTGCAGCTCTTGCATTGCATCTTCAGGGCAGGAGACCTCCCCAGAGTGAGCAGAGTCCCTCTGTCACCCCAGCTGTGTAGCCACAGCTATAGGGATCTGGTGAGATGCAGAGAATCAGGGTGGCTGACACACAGGTGTGGTACAGCTTGAATACTAGGCACACTTCAGAAATTCCTGAGAGCAGTCAGACCCAGCAAAAAGAAAGTGAAGGAGTAACTCTGGACTTTCTGCTACTACCCTCAACTGCAGCTAGTATCTTCTGGGTACAAAGGAAACATTTCTGTGTCTTGGGCTCCCCAGTAAAAGATACTCTACAGGTGTAGTGATTTATAATTATCACCTCTGGCCTTGCAGGGTTTCCTTCTTTTCTCTTTCTTAGGGCACTGTAAGCTCTTGCTCCTGTGGAAACCCCAGTCCCTCCAGAGTGGGCTGATCCAGAAGGACGTGCTGCGTTTCAGCTTGTTTTGAGAGACAATGCTGCTGTGACATGACCTGTCAGAGCTGTAGGAGAAGGACTTCGATTCTTCTATCTGGACATGCCTGGGAGGACTACCTGTGCAACCGTAGTCACTGTTACAGGTGGAACGTATGCACAGGGCCGCCTTCTTTGTTTCTGAGCTGAAAACCCCTTTTTCATCACCTTCAGAGAATCCCCAGTTCACATAACCAACTTCAGTTTCTTCCCTCTCATCACAGGAGGGTGCAGCACTCTCTTCAATATCCAGCGATGGCTGGACACCAAGAGGATGATCAGCCTTTCTGGCATTAGCCTTTTCTGATGGCAAATTAATAACAAAGTCTCTCTGGCTCCATTGATAATCTTCTGGCTCTTTTCCAATGAGGCTGACACTTCGCAAGTTTTGCTGCTCCACAACGCTACTTTGCAGTTCATCTCTGAATGCGTTGTCCCTGTTCTTGGCAGGAGTGCTCAAAAACGACAAATTTAAGGTGACATCCTCAGAGAAAGACCCTCCCTGATGGTCAGGGGGCACCAGCAAAAATTGTCCATATCTAGGGGTTGACTTAGTCTCAGAGGATACTCCCGAAGTGAGTGTGTCACTTTCTATTTCTATCTTTCGAGAGATGTCTTCTACCACCTTGTTACTCTCAGTCCTCAATATGTGATCTTCACATTCTGATGGCCACTGACTCCTTACCAAGCTCCGTAAGAGGGAGGGTGGCATGCTGTAATAGCGGTATTTCTTGTCATACAAACACTCCAGGCTGCTCAAGGTCTTGGAATAGAGCACATTGCTCCAGCTATGGGGCAGCTTCCTACCGGTTCGATGTTTTGTATCAGCCAGTAAGGCTTCTTTCACCTGCAAGGTATCTACAGCTGAAAGCACTTTCAGGATGTCCACTGTCAAGGCAGACAGGTCTTGCAAATGTCCTAGCTGGCTGTCCAGAGACAGTAAAGACTCCTTGATATAAAATACCTTCTCATGTACTTCTTTAAGCTGCAGAAACATCTCCTCGACTCTAGGTGGAAAAAGAAAATATAATTAAAATACCAAAACACAGATCTTTACTTCTGTTTGCCAGATGATGAAGGAATCCATTAACACATTTCAGAAAGTCAGTGTTTCAAACAGCCCTTTGTTTTTTTAATGGTGACTTCCTTTACCATGAATATCTACCTATATTTGACAAAACCCATCCAGACTTACAACATGTCATTCAGATTACTGGGTCAACAGCCAGTGACTTTTAAGGAAACAGGCCTTTTGCTCCAGGATTAGCTATGTTTAAAACTGCTATTTTTCTACTAATGTTCATTCCTTGCCGTAGAACTACTAAACCATGGACAGCAGGACACAGCTTTGGAAATGCTGCACTGGCTATTGCTGTAAATGTAAAATGCTGTAAAGTATACTTCTTGTCAGTTAGTCATCCTCCATTTCTACATTTTGTGCAAGCATGAGAAGGACAAGGCTCACACAAACCTAGATACTCTCGCATTTCTTAAATACTGGAGACTGCTGCGAAAAGGGTATTCCCAAGGACCTATTTGACCCCTGGGAACAGATTCTGTATGTCTGATGCCATCAGTTATCTTCAGGTAAAATTCAAACTGCCCAAAAAGCAAACCCTTTCTTTATGGTCTTCAAATCCCCAGTGAACAGTGCAAGAAATTCTTGGCCTGGAATGATATAATTTTAACAAAATCATTATGTTCACGTTTCCTGAAAATACTCTCTGGTGCTCTATCACTAAGACAATGATAAACTAGCTGCAGGCAATATGCAAAAGTTGCTCCTTTCTTTTGTCACTGAGTAATTAAAAGATGTAGTATTTAACCAATACCCGAATAAAATCATAGACCCGTGTTCCAAAATATTTTATTCATCTAAATTAATTTATTGCATTAATGTTATTCAATGCTGTGAAGCGTGTTTCACCTTAGCACTCAGAAAAACAACTCCTTTCCAGATCTATATTTATCCAGTAAATGAAATCTTGCTGTAATCAATTCTGTAGCTTTTGAACAAAGCAACTTATTTCTTTTACCGGGGACATTAATTTTGCTTGTGTGTTTTGTTTCAGTATGCAGAAAATAAGATTATGAGCAGGCAAAGATTAAGAGGCTATCTTTCTCTGGGCAGAATAAATTTATTAGATGAGATCAGTATTGGCATTCAGTAAGACTTTTTATAGTACTCACCTTCTGTAGCTCTTCCCATTAAACTTAATGGCACCTTTGCCATTGATTTCAATAGAAAGCTAAATTAGGCCAATATTGAGAGTTTGAAACCCCACTGACAATTGTGTATAGACATTTTGCAAACCAAGACACTATGTTGTAGATAATGCTAGATGGTTATTTCTGTAAACAGTAGTTATACTCAGTCACAAGCAATACTCTCACAGCATTCCTACACTGCTAAGTCTTTATGTAAAAAGACGTATCGTATGCTGTACTCTGGCATGTTTTCATGGTGCTACCTGATCTGCAAAAGTGCAACTGAGCAAGATCGTACTGTACCCCTTTAGCCACCTGCACACAGAACACATCTGGGGATGCAATTCTGCCAGCAAGGCTTCCCAGCCAAGCCTGCCATGAAGTTCAAACAGATACATTACACTTCCATCAAATTAGCAAAATGCATGTTATCGCTCCTCATGTTCACAGTGGCCACAATCTCTTCCAAAAGCATTAGCTTATAGAAGGCTTTTTATATGACAAATATATAGCAAGTGCAAACAAATCAGAAGCAAAACACACCTTTCTGTTGTCAGTCGGATCCTTTCACTGTCACTGGAACTCAGACTCTCACTCTTCTCATGAAAATATTTTTCCACACACTGTTCCTCAAAGTCATGGAGCTTCTTTAACTCTTCATCACTCAGGTACAGCTCTGAACAAAGAAGTCAGGAATCGGTATGAAGCATGCTGACAAATGCAATTGCTTATAAGCATACCATGAGAAAAAAAAGAAAACCATCAGAACTGGTTTCCTCCCCCTCCCTTGACAAGAATGAATCAGACCTAAGTCCATGAACTTGGGCTTATGTATAAAGACTCGACATGCTAAATACATGTAATCATGTTTTTATCCTTCCTTAGATAGGGAGCAAAAGCACAATGACAAAAATTTCCAGTGCACTCCCTTTTAAAGCCTCAAATGTACATACCCAGATGACTGCTCACAAAGACTTATTTTCTCCCAAACTTTTTCTATATTTTGTTATACATGTGTGACTCCCAAGACTTAGATATAGATATGTAAGACTTACAAATATTTCATTATAATTTGGTCCAGACCTTCATTTAGGGCTAGTCACCTATAGCAATTACTGTCCTTTCAAGTAGTCAACGCTGTATTTTTCACTTAATTGCTTCACATGTTCATATGTATACAACATTAAGCAAGATTACTGGGTGAAAAATAACACATTCAAAAGTTGAAGACTTCACAGCTTGGGCTGATCATGTTGCTATTCTTCTAGCACACCAATACTTCTGAGAGAACAGATCAATTATAAGTCAGTATGAAGAAAGGCATATGGTGGAAAGCTGATTCTTTGATCCAAACTCCACATCTTTCAAGTTCCTTTTTTCTTTCTTTTTTCACATACCAGAGTCCTTGCTGTACTTGCTAGGGGTGTATCTGTGCACACAGCAACACAGCAGTGTTTGCTACAAGCATGTAGTACTCGGTTGCAACACACAGTTCAGCATGGAAGCCCCCCTGCACTGTTCTGTGGTCTCCCTCTCCAAATGAGACTTGATCACCTCCTAGGGTCTTTTCCCCCCTAACTCACTTGTGTTCTTGCCTCCAAGATTTTACTCTGTATCTTGGTATTTTCATTGATTTTCCACAGGGTGGCACTGGGTCTTCATTGATAAAACAAGCTAATTATAAACACACCAAAATTGAAGAAACTTACCAAGCAATACATAGGCATATAGAAAAGGGACACAAAGGTACACAAACAGAAAAAAAATGTCTCTCTCTGAGAGAAGTGTAGGCAAGGCATGAGACCTCTTCTATCCAAGGACTTCTAGATGTGCTAAGCAGTGTTTCATTTTTCCTTGTGCCTAATGCACCTTATAAGACACCCTCTATGTTAGTGACTTACACTATGCATGCATATAAAATAAGCAGTGGTACTTCAAAGGCAGGCTGATGTACCCAGTCATGATGGAAGAGCTGAGCCTGGGAGCAGCAGTAAAGCGGCTCAGCATTTATTAGTTAAGCCCATTTTTGAACTCTGTAACCACCTGTGAACATGCCAGACAGCTTCAGGAATTCATGTTCAGCAGTGAAAATCCTAAGTGAAGCATAACCCGAGCAGGGTCTGCTCACCTCTGTTATTAGGCACCAGGAGGTATGTTGCATTGAAAGGATGACACCAATGTTCTCCAATGTATTTTTAGATAAAGTTACAGCCACCAGCCACTCCTCCTCCCTATTCCCCTGCCTCACCCGACCAACCACCAGGTCCCTCTTCTGAGTATTCATTCCCATCCCAACATCTTGTGGTCCTCTCCCCATAATGGCTGGGACTTCTCCTGGCAGAGCTTGCAGGAGCTGGCAACTTGGGATGGGGAACTGGCATCACCTTAAAGAGGCATTAGGATGGACCCAGGGATGAAGAAATCCAGGTTGAAAGGAGTAAAGGAGGTGGGACTAAGGTGCAGCGATGAACCAGCGCACAAAGGGAAGGATGTAGTGAGGAGTTGGGAGGCCCCTATACCCTCTCACTGCATCTGCCGTCACTGGATCTCCTCTATTCTTGGGCTCTGAGGCTACTTTCTCCAGACAATTAAAAAGAAATTGTTGGTCTTTTCAGGAAAAATGTATGGAAATGTATACCTCCAGTATTGTTTCCTTTCTTTCAAAATAAGGCTATTAATTCCTACAGAGTAAGTTGCTGTCACTTTATTTCAGCTCAGAGTGGTGATGTATCTTGACTGATGCAGAGTACGTAGCACAGCAAAAGCCAAATACAGAGCAAAGCATTCCCCTAGTCACTTTTTCCTAAAAGAGTTCTTAGACAGGCAAGTTAAATTCAGTTTTGCAAAGAAAAACAGCCTTCTACCCAGAACACCTCCATTTTTTTGGGGGGAGCAGGTGGGGAGGAACTGAGATACAAAGTGATGGGAAGCTGGCAAAACTTTCCTCATCAGCTTTTTCTTCTGGTCCCCAGCTTAGCTCTGCTTACTTAGTCCAACATCGCCTTCCTCTTGATCCAGCTCATTTGGGGGCCGGTGGTGGAAGATGCGGTTTATCAGAAGTCCAATGTGGCTCAGGATGATGAAAGGTGGAGGAAGCCACGGCTTCTCATGGTAGGTCATAATGTAACGGTACCGATTGTACTTCCAGAGCTTGTTTGATATGGATTTCAGATCATAATAAACATTACTGAGAAGAGAGTAGAAGGGGAAGGAGGGTAAAACACTCCTGTGACGAATATTCCCAATACAGCACAATATGCTTGTCTACAGATCTAATTTGACACTGAAGAAAAGTCCCATCCCCCCAGTGAGGTAAATCAGCTTAGCAACTTTCATTTAACATAGCAGCAGCATGTGCCTGCAGCTAGAGCACTGAGAATGAGATCTTCAAAGCTGCCTAACGGATTTGGAGATCCAATTCCCATTCACATTAATGGGAACTGGGCAAAAAATATCCCTGAAGTGGCTTTGAAATCTCAGCCAGATTATTTAAACTTTAATACATAGCCTAACTGAGAATTCAACATTGTTTGTCTCTTTGGATTAAATGTAGGAATCAGGCTAATGGAAGACTGATAACAAAACAGTCCTGTGCACACCCTCTAAACAAATTAATTGCTTCAAGCGGTAGCTACATGAGCGATTCTTCTGCAGGCTACTCTTTGGAGCTGTGATATTACTAAATGTGACTGTTGTTGCACTGAGTAATCTCCCATATCTACTATCATAGACCTAGGTACAGAAAAGTAACTTTGTGGTTTCTGGCACTATAATTCCAGTTGCACTGTCATACTACACACCCAGCATATAATCACAAAATCATCAGCTTTGCCTCTGGGAACATAATTAAATATATTGCTCATACCCATTTTTGCTCCCACTTCTGGAACAATCAAATCACTAAGCAGAAGATTTAACATATCATCATTGCTGAAGGTTTAAATCTAGAAATAATTCAAATTACAATTTCACAGCTGTGTATTAGAAAAAAAAATAATTTGATGCCACAATTTCAGGAAAGGGATTTCTAATTGGAATTGGGAATAGAATGGGTTTTGATCATTCCGTTTTCTTGAATATTAATCACTATATTTCTTCATTTGAATGTCTTTTAACCTACAGCTGACATTTTCTTCCCCAGAAATACTAGAACTCTAGGAAAAAATAATGAACTACTTGGGTTAGACTGCTTTTTACTGATATTTTAAGGAATTTGGTCCATTACAGGGGCTTGCCTTTTAAAACTTGAAAGGTCAGAATTACTGTGGACATTGATTAATTACTACAGAATTATTATGAATTACTATAGAATTACTATAAAGACCCTTCCTACTCTGGCAGCAGACATTAAAAAGCAGATAGTTAAAAACACTACAGTTAGATTTCTGTCTATAACGTATCAAATTGCATCAAACAACAGGAATTTTCAAATTATTCCCTATAGGAAGACCATGCTCCTACAAACCCATCATCCTCTTCCCTTGAATACCTTCTCCACTTATCCACTAACTTAAATCTTGGGCTACCCTATGATGAACACTATATAGGCTGTCAAATACAACTTTTAGGAACAGAGGACAAATTGCTTCACATCTAAATTAACGTTTCCTATTTGCCAACTGGAGCTGTCCACTTTCACAGAGTCAGAATCTCTTTAATGGGCAAAACAGTTTAGGTGTCTGCCCACCATCCCCTTCCTCCCACTCCCTTGCTTCCACCATTTTTTTTTTTATTCACTGGACCCCCATGGAAGATGGGGTAACAACCACCATCAACATGCCCAACTGTGGCAATTCAGGTGAAAGGCTTTTGCGGAAGTGTTGGCAGAACATCTATAAGTTGCTTTTGCTTTCGCAACAATATACCATGATACCTACTTAAAAAAAGCAATAAGCAAGTTGACCATGATGATGTACTGCACAAAGAGGTAGACAGCTTGGAGGAACGGCGTGAGGAAGGAGCCAGGAGGACAGTCTTCATTGGTTTCACAGACTGAAAGTGAAGGACATACATACAGAGCATGGTTAGCATGGAAATCAGAGCAGAGCACAGCAATGACATGCTCCTCATTCACCCCTGCACAAAACAGAATAGTCCTCATTACTTTCACAGAAATACATTACTAAATTCCCAACTAAAAAGTCTACTTCCACGTAAAGAAGACCTGAGACCTCTTCATGATACTACCACCCTACAGTTTCAATTGCAATTCAGAAGCTGTAAATACCACTTCACACACATCAGTTTGTATGTCAGTTTTCCCAACTTTTTGTTAAGGGGAAAAAATGATGCAGCTGAAATGTATTTGGGAGATGGATCACACTCAAGTAAACTGAAATCCAAATCTCTGATCCTTAAATCAAGTGGCAAAACTTTCAGTTTTTGCCACTTTATCAGTACTGGAGTGTTATTCCTTTAGAGTTTCAGAGAGATCACACTCATGTGCAAAAGGACATATGGCTATGAATACTTGTGAGATGAACCAACAAATCCTAAAAATTAAGGGACCCCTCTTAACATTTTTAAATTGTCAAAATAAATATTTTTCAGTCTTTATAATTAAATTTTACACCTTTGAGGAAATTTTAAAACAGATTTATAAGGCAGCAGCCCTAAATTCAGGACATCTTCTGCAGCATAAAGAGTCATTAGAGAAATACTAGCTTTATTTGGGAAGTGTCAAATTTCTAAAGGTTTAGCATTAATAAGTGATTAAATGGATTAAACTGTGAAACTTAACAGTGTGCTTTCATTTAAAGAATTTTGATTTGCATAACCAAAATATATAGCCATCGCATGACTATTTTAGCAAGAACAATGGATGCAACATCTTAAATTTTTTTAATTAATCAGGTCTATGCTGAATTATGTATCTTCAATTGCATACCTACTTTTCTATTTTAGGGACTGTTTTACTTGTACCCATCCCTTAACAGCATGAGAGTGCCTTCCATCCCTAATGCTGAAATACCTCCTGAAGTGCCTGGTTCTTCGCTCTTACTGAGACAAGGTCAAAGTCATAGTCAAGAAAGAACATTTTTCTTATTTACATTGATATGTTCTATTTTCCTATGTTCAACTGGCTTATCTGTTTAAGAACGATGCCAATTAACTCTTACTATGGTGCAAAATTATTTCTTGTTCTTATTTTTCCATTTTTGTTTTCTCTTTAATTTTTCCTCCTTTAAGACAACTTTGTAGTCTTTTCTCCAAGAGATCAGCAGCTTTGGATTTGCTTAATTGGAAATTGATTTCACTGCCAGATCCCCTGACCATGAACTAGCTTAGTATTAGTTCTTATGTGCTTTGCTCCGAGCTTTGCAATATACTTCATTTTAAAAGCTAAATTTGAAGATTTAAAAGCTTAATCTTTATTTTTAACAAATAAATGAATAATATTCTCACCTTTATTCATGCAGTATAACTCATTAAGGACATATATATGCTAGAATCAAAATTGTTTGAGAAAGAAGAGACTCACTATGTAGTCAAAATTCTAGTAGCCCAAAGTGGACCTGCTTCTGCATGTATTAAATTTAAGCTGTTAAATTGTACTGTGAAAATTACATACCATCTATTTCTCCAGCATAGACCTCACCAAACATCATCCAGTAGGGCTGAAATACAATATCTCGTGCCAGAGTCCAAGAAGGAGGCTCCTCTGGTGAAAGGATTGCCTTTCGTGACACTCCAAAACTCAACAGGACTATGGCCATCATGACCACAATATAGAACATGTTTGCTGTCTGGAAGACATGTTTTCATGAAAGAATTAGCTGTGTTAATTATATGTAAAGGAGACATACATGTTAGAGAAGAGTATCAATCACTGCTTTTACAAATCAGAATATAACACAGGGCCAATCATCTAATATGCTGCAGGATATAAAAATATTTTATTCCTGTGACCTGGGCTACCTAAATAATTTAGAGAGGTTAAAATCATCCTGGATCAAAAAGGCCACAAGTCCTACTTGCCTCTCAAGTCCCTCTTAAGATCTTAAGCAAGATTTGAAAAATGCACAGACCTTATGATGGTACTTTTACCCAGTGGTATTTCTTCCAAACTGAGATCAAGGAATAGCAGTGAAAATTATTTTGCCTTGTAACAGTGAACTGGAATTACTATGCAAGACAGAATAGAAAAGTATTAATAAGATAGTTCCCAATAACCAAGGGAAATTACAGTGGGAATCTGCAGATGTCCCGCAAGACTAGGCAGCAGATCAGCAGCAGTTCTTACACCAAAAGAGAAAAAAAATTAACTTTGATCTCAGAGAAATTTTGCCTGCTAAAATGGGATATAATTATTTGAATCAAAATGTAAAATAATAATGAGATAGTTTCCAAGAGCTAGGGGAATTATCTATAGTAGTGAGCCCATTTGCAAGAGACAGTGATTTTTCTTTCTCCTATTATCAAGCTGGATCAGAAACTCAGCTCAAATGCAACCCTTCTCTAAGGAACGAAGCAAGAATGGCTTTTGTGAATAAATTCAAATAATGAATAAATTAGAGACAAGTGAAATCTGATTGCGGTCAACACACAAACAGAAAAAGACATCGTACTTTCAGGTAATACATTCACTATGAATTATTAGGTGACCTCTCCTTTGACTACCATTCTTTTCTGTCACTTCTGACCTTTACACATTCCTTAACAGATGCCTTAACTACAAAAATATTGCCCCAAAGCAAAATACTTACCATTTTCCCAATCATTGTCAGGTACGGGCCAGCATGCTGATTCACAGCAAAAAGATCAAGCAGCCGAGCATACCAAAATATTATGTCCAAGCAGTAAAGTAGCCTCCCTGCAGTTTGAACAGGGGGGGCAGACCAGCGCAAGCCAAAACCAATCATAAAGAGGATGATAGCTATAGAATCAGTAAAATTCCAGTATTCATAAATCCACACCTTCACTTTTTGGTGGAATTTTCCAGGTTCTGAGATAAATACCTGAGTAGAATGCGGAAAAAAAAAAAAACAGGGAAACTCCATTAAAATCACAGATACAATCTTTAACCTATTCTGTTTGAACTGTTTCATGACATTTGGGAATGTCTTGGGTTTTTTCAATTTTTTTTGCAGGCCCTTGTACTGCATATTGCCATTCACCGTTAATTGAGGTTTGTACTTAATCTATAGTGTCATATTGCTCAAGTGTGCCACACCAAATAGAATAGATCTTCCTAAGGAAAAATGATTTCTGAGCCTGAACCCATTCACTAAAGAGCACATTCCTCAGCAGAAAAGAGCAGCCAGTATAGAATTGTTATGCATACATATCATTACAAATTAACAAGCATTTTCTAGAGAAATGGTCATGACCTGCAACAGCCCTTTCAAAAGCCCCTAAGTCATGGAAAGTACCAACCTGCCTAACCTTGCTGATGGGAAAATAACTAACGCCTTTTATTTCAGACTGAAAATATAAAGAATGATCCTTGTATTCCACCAAGGACACGCTAAAAAAAGAAGTACTGCCAACTAGCAAGGTAAAGAATGAAATGTTCACTCCTCAAACTGTGAGGTGCCCCAAAGGGATTTTAAGCTTCACTGAGCAAAAGTGTGAAGTGGAATCTTTGAGAGGTCATAAATAAAACCTTTGCACATTTTGTGAGTGAGGCCAATAATGCAGTGCTATGCTAGATCACACTGATAAGTACCAAGCAAAGGAGAGATCTGAAATGTTATACCCCGATCCTGCAAGAATTTACTCATATGAACACATTAATGTAAACGAGTAATCCTATTCAATTCAGCTGGACTAACTCACATGAGGAACTAGTTGCAGGATCAGGGCCCAGGGCTTTAACAATTAATTGATACAATCTAGAGAAATAGAGGTTTGCAGTTATATATAACAAGGCCCTCAGCAGTTAATAAGCAGTACGTGTAAGACACAGTGTCCTAGTCTTTGCCAGTAGACCAGAACTAGTACATGGACAGAGAAAATCAAGTAGAAGACATGAATTTAAAAGTCTCAAATGAATGTTAATGCTAGAAAGAAGAGCTGATGTTTCCACTGTCCCACCATCAACATGATGCAACAGCACAACAGTGATTTGAAAAGTGCTTGCTATTTCACATTTCATTTTTTTCTTAAATAGACAATACTTGTGTAGAGATTTCCAATTTTATCTCATGAAGCCACAGAATTCGTGTTTAACCAAGCTTCAATACATTCCCAGCATTTCTGCTGCCCCTTGAAATCCTTTACCTCTCATACTGATGTTGCAGTCTTCTGAGTGATCTGTTGTAACAGCATCCTTCACTCTGACTGCTTTTTTTAGTTTTATTCCTCTAAAAGTACAGGAATTCAAATGTCTTATATATAAAAGATAATTCACACTACTTTTGTGTACTACATGTCAATTCTACAGTGAAGATATGCCCAATCAGATACAATAATTTGGGAAATACATGGCTGCATTTGTCCCCACCCTCAGGTTTGAAGGGCAAGTTGTGTTCAGAAGCTTGGATCTAATCTGCTACAAATAACTGCAATTAATTTTGTTTGGAATATCATTTTTCCATGCTCAGTGAATCCAGCATTATAATTTGATGGTGGCTTTTTTCCAGTTTTGTTTATAGAGGGTCAACTAGACTTGATAAAGAGCCATAGATTATTCTACACATAACACCTATTAATTGATAAAAATGTCCATCCTCGAAGTAAATATCTAATGACAAATTCCGTATTTGTTAAAAGGAAACTAATGGTCCACTCAAAAAATTAAGAAACAGGTGCCTACTTTGGTGCTCCAAATCTCAATTCAGCACAATCACTGTCACGCAACCTGCACATTAACACTGGCTTTACACAGCAAAATAAAGATTTAAGGACAAACTTTAAGATGCATTTTCAAAGCACAGTTACTGGTCTTCAAATAAAGACTTCTCAGAAATAAATGCCCTGCTAAAATAAATAATTACTCTCTGCTAAATTCTCTACAAAAAGAATGAAGGATTTGGCGCTCTTCAGTTTATGGTATTCTCTGGTTTATAACATATCCTCTATAGATGAGAAATGTGAATGGAAAAGCTTACCTCCCTGACTTTTTCAACAGCAGTGCTGAAAATATAAATGATAACAAGCCACTCTTGCACACTTGGTCTTGGTTCCATCTTTACCAACACAGTGTAAGTGAAGAGCATGAGAAATGCCATGTATGCCATCTACAAAACACATGGTATTCAATCCATAAAAATCTCCACCAAATTCCAGTAAACATATTAACAGGTGAATAGCCTGACTATATGTATTCAAACTGCTGGGGTCAGATTTTTGAGCCCAAAATCTTTCCTCCAGTTTTCCGAAGTGTTTTTATGGGAATATCTATCCTTAAACATCATCTGGAAATTGACGCTTCAGTGATGAATAAATGGGAGCAGAAGACAAACTTTTGCAGTGCATGTTCAGCTAGGCTCCAAACCCATATATGAAAAAGACTGTTTTATTTGCACATCATTACTTGAATGTAAAGGCAGTGCTATGCTTTTATCCCAACCTTCTCTAGAATCAAGTAACCATTCTCAAAGCTACGTGAATAACTGATCATTAATCAGTGACTTCCAAAACACTGGAACAATATCAGATGGAGAGTATTTATTTTAAGTGAACCAGAATACACTGTAAGGGTAGCTGAGATAACGGATTAACAACCTATAAAGCAGTTAACCACACCCTGGTAAAGGAGCAACAGTTTATGTACATGGTGGTCTGACCCAAGAGTCAGGCTGACCTCAAACACCCTAAGATCTACTGACACAGGGTTAGCTACTAATAAATGCATATTTCTTTATAGCAAATTCTCTCACATAGGTTAATATTCACTCCTTCAGAAACAGTTCCTAAAGGAAGGGACATGAGTATCTGTGAGGTATTTAAGGCTTCAAATCTATCTCTAGCATGTGTGATTACCCACAGTAGAAAACCCTGCTCGGATTTTTCTTTAATTCTTTGTAATTGTTTTTTTGTTCTTTTTGGTTTTTTGTTATTTTTTGGTTTTGGTTTGGTTTGGTTTGGGTTTTTTTTTTTAATGCAGCTGCATGACATTAGCAGAAAAACGTTTCACTTAATTGTGAGAGATATTCAAATGTCTTCCTATCCACTCCCCACCGCTAAATGGCTGCAAATCCATGATAGGCAAAGTAAAAGCAGCATCAAGTGGTATTTGAAGGATCAAAGGAGGGTTTTGGCAATCCGAGTTCTAGAATGATGACCAACCGTGTGAAACCAGAACTTGACAATTGGTGCGTTGTAGAACTCATAGATTTTTCTAGTTCCAGGCAGATTTCCTTGTCCACCGTCTACTTGGCTTTCATCAGACTTCTGAGTAACCTTCTCCACATCATAATCCTTCTTTAAAAGGAAACAGCATTTTGAAAGTAAGAAAACTATGGTCTGTGACTGAAAAGGTTGTGTCATGTTAGAGGGAAGACAGGCACAGATGTTTAATCTTTGTTCTGAATACACAAACCATTACTGTACCTTGATTTTGTCTAGTTACAACCATCACATTTACAACAATCAACATGCATACTTTACCACTATAAATACACATTTAGAGTTTTCTCTTATAACTACAGGCAGTGGACTGGCCATCAGCAGACCTGAAGCCACTCCTGTGTCTGCCACACATTTCTTTAAGCAATGTCACTTAATCACTCTGTGTCTCACTTTCCCCATCTGTGAAATGCAGATAAATAACAACTCCCAATACAACGTAAGTGATATCTAGAACTCCACTCACAACTGTGGCACATTCTGAAATAAGGGAATAAGCATCACATTTCCACTCATGTACAGAGTTGCACAGAAAATGTCAAGACAGTGAAATTATACAGAATCTAATTGCTACTTTTGATACATTGTATGCCTGATTAGAATATGAGGATGAAGTAAGTACTCTCTTACAAAGACCTGCCTACAAGAAATACAGGTAACTTCTTTATTGTCTTCAGTAAAATAAAAACAAATGACACACCCCCCACCAAAAAACAAAACAAAACAAAACAAAACAATGAAACAAAAAAAAAAAAAAGAAGGCAAACACACTTTATTCTATATCCAGAGTTTGGTATTTGTCCAAGTACCCCTCTGAAAGTACGAATATCTGATTGCCACTGAAGCCTAAGAAGAGCTGCATATACACAGCAGTGGGCAACTGACAAAACCAGAAGGTGCAGGAAAGGAGATTTCAGAGATGAAGGAGAGAGGTCTGCGGGAACTATAAATAGCTAATAGCTGGACAAGGCTGAGGGAACCAGCCTCATTCTGTTTTGTTTCAATGCTGGCCAATTGCCTTGTCTAATATCAATGCTAAAACTTACTGCTACTAGACATCTGCAGCATAGCACTTTCTATCTGACATATTTATCCCTACTCTACTCAACATTTCCTTGGGTTATCAGGTGAAAGATGATTTTCTTTCATCATATTACTCAGAAAAGTGCTAAACAAGGTAATTTGATACACAGAATCATCCCAGTATATTAACATCAGATCCTTCAAAGTAAAGGAGAGAATTTGTCCTATGAAAGAGTGTAATTTCCAGCTCCAGCAGGTCACTGGAATTTATGACCATGTGTGAAAGGTGCTATATATGGCAAATGTACACCCTTGAAATTTTTTGTACATTTTTCTATACTATTTCATATCAGAGTATTTAAGAAGAAATGGTAGCTCAGCCTTTTGTTTTAAACAATACTCTGTATTAGATAAAATCAGAAGTTAAGCTTATTGCTAGCACAGGAAGGAAGCAGCCCTGTCTGAGGCAGGTCAGAAAAGTGCTAATGCAGATTGCTGTGCTGCCTTCTACCAGACTGCAGGAGTGGTCCTGCTACGAATAATTGCAATGGGCCTGTCCTCTGTATCACAGCTGTTACCTAACCCCGTAAAAAGCAATTCTGAACTGACTGTATTATACTGGCACTGCAGAAGATAATGGCTTCAAGCATTTTCCTGCATCAGAGAGAGAAAACACAAGCGTGGCATTGAGAGGCCTACGATGCTGCTGAGAAAGCCCGCAACAACAATGCATTCCCTTTTATTTTACAAAATTGAAAGTTAACTGAGAAGGTCCCAAGCAATCTAGAATGCTTATCTGCTGTACGATAAGCAGAGCAGTGCAGAAAAGATTGCCTGACAGCTCTCACTTGTCAATCCTGTTTTCATTGGTTAGCAACACATCAACATTTACATTTTTGGATGGAAATTCTACATCTCTGTTGTCTATCTCAGACTGAAAACTTTTGGAATTTTCAGTTCAAGGCATGCTCTGTGGAGAATGAGAAAAAGGACAGGCAATTCTGCCTAGAAAAGTCTGGGGGAATTCAGATCTTAGAAGGCAAAGGCTTCACCTATACTGGAGACTCCCCACAGACAGGCCTAAGAAGGACTTTTGCGCAACCACAGATCCCTGCAGAATGTTTCCAGACTCAGTTCAGATGACTAAACCAAAAGCACAGTTCTCTTGTGCTTTAAATGGCATCTCTGCTAGGCTCAAGCAATGCAGAAGTAGAGATACCCTGTTTTTCAACAAGGAGGGCAGGAGTTAGACCTCTGGAAGGGTTATGATGTAATTCAGGAAACAAAATCTCAGGGAGACACTAAGAGTGAAGGATGGCCATGGAGAGGAGGAGAGGCTGCTGGCCAGGCAGAGTGGGAGGACATAGTGAGTTGGAGAGGACAGGACCTGGACTGCCTTAGTTCTGCTGTTTCCCTGCTTTGGACAGCTCCACTGGGCAACCTGAACTGAGTTTTATGGATGTGATTTTGTGTATGATATGAAACCATTCTTAGATTATTTCATATACAAGATTACACAGGTATTTATCTGCAGCTTGAATAGACTTTGCACCCTAAAATACCCATGTAACTGACAGATAATTATAATCTCATTCTACTTCTATGAGATTGAGAAGGATTTTCTCATTATGACAAGTACAGAAGTGACCCCTGGACAGATGAAGTGCCTTGTCCAAGGTCACTTCAGTCTGTATCCAGACCACAGACCCTACTTGTTGAGAACTGGGCCCTGATGCTTCCAGCTGATAAACTTCTCCTCATTCCTCAGGATTATACTGTGGTAAAGAGACAGAGCCTGACACACAAATGACTGATCACTGCAGACTAACCAGAGACAAAGCATCTTTAGAGCTGGTTGGGCTCTCATCCCCATGATACCATGTGAACTGGTGGAAGTCTTGAGACTGAGGCACATGTGACATTTCTGCCTTGCTTTTAAACTCCAGCATCAAGATGGTAGGAGGCAAAAGAATACTCATAATGACCTAAAAGAAAGACACAAGATTCAGGAAATTAATTCAACGGTGATAGCATAGATCTGAGGACACAGTCTGCCATGCACGGTGCCAGCACTCAGTGAAATTCCACTGGCCTGGGGGAGAGCAACTGGTGCAGAAAATCTCTGCATGACACTTTTACAGCCTCTGAAGGAAGCATGTTGCTCTTGGCTGTTTTGTGGCTTTGAAGAGTGTCATGGTATCTGGGAATACTTTAGATACTGCTTCCTATGCCTGGAAGGCATTCTTCCCATCAGCAGCTCTGCTGAAGAACCAGCAGTGCAGTGCACAGAGAGCAGGTGGAGTGGGACGGAGGGGTGGTGAGAGAATAGGAACAGAAAAAAACTCATAAAATGCATTCTCCTACTGTTATCTCGCAGCAGCTTTTGCAAAGAAGTAAAACAGAAGGAAGTACTGTCCTCCCCCCCCACCTTTCTTTTTTTCCCAAATGTGTACATTCCAATCCATGCTTAAGCACATCTGTCCGAAGCTGCATTCATTAGACATGTTCATAACCACAAAGACACACATAAAGCACCTAAACAGCATCTAAATTCTCAGAAAAAGCTAGAGTGATGTTACCTTAAACCAGGAGTTCTTTCGCATCTTCAGGCGTCCCATCCACATATCAGTCAGCAGCATCTGTGTGCAAGTATGGGATACAAAAGGTCGCAGCCCCACAGACACTGCTAGTTTTAAGCAAGTTGAGTTGCTCCAGTTTTTCAGTTCATAGGTCAGCAACTTCATGGCCATCTGCTCATTTTGTTTGAATGCCTTCTCCAGCACATCTAAGGCAAGCTGCCCAAATTCCCTACAGCAGAAAGGAATTAACAGTTAATATAACAGGGATCAGTCAAAACTCAGAATCACTGCTGCAAAGAGGCTGGTTTGAAAATTTCATTAACTAAATTTCAGCTAACATTCTCAGTAAGTATGCCTCCTCCTATTTTTCCTGTTGCTTTATCAATATATCTAGTGAAAAAATACTTGGGGAGAAAATCTAACTATTTAGTCCTAATCACGAGGTTTAGGGTCATCTTGTTTTCTGTTTTTTTAATTGATGTGTTCATAATCTCACTCAGTAATTCAAAATGGACCCTACAAAGTTCTGTGTACCTCTTTCAACAACACACTCATCATCACTGTGGGCAAGCATTGCACACAGTTGCAAAAGCCTCTTCTTTTAACTGGCTCTTAAACATCTCTGTAGGGAAGACTCTTCAAGGAAGACAGACCTTCCTTTAAGCTTTGGAGCTGCATGCAAAGGAAGACAGCACATCTTATTGTACTCTGAATCGGAGGCATGATGTCTACAAAGAATACAGTATGTCATTAACAAGAAAAACTACCACAAAACACTAACATGAAACCACAAATTTGAAGAAAATTTTTGGTCTACTTCATTTTTTTAATCACCCAGCTATTTCAGCACACATTTTTCTTTATGTCTTACGCAAAGCAGGATATAAGCACTGATTTTAGTTTGCTCATTACAAAATGTTACACATTTGAAAAGTCCAACACGTATGCGTCATATGGCTTTTTAACAAGTTGAACTGGAAGAGAAGCTGTAACGGAAATTTCAGTCTTCCACTTGACCATTTAGCAGACAGTGAGCCACACGTTACTCACCTATATATTTTAACCTTCAAATATTCAACTAGATAACTAGAAATATTGAAAGTTAATAGCTTTTCTTTGACCAGATTGCACACCAATACATAGCTCCATTATGTAATATGAATAGCGGGCAGCTGAAAGTGTTTCTTTTATATTCTGTAGTCCATGGCACCACTAACCTTACAAACTCTTAATGGATTAGGAAAATATCTAATCATTCTAAGCACTGCAGTACTTCATCAACTGAAGGGACAACTCATACTTTGAGTACTTCTTGAGTTCTTCTGAAGTGTCATCCACCATGTTGCTCTGTTTAGCTTCACGTGCCATTGCCCTGTAGAGCTTACACGCCACAACAGCTTTGACCATGGCTTCCTCTCCATGCTGCCAGAAGAACATTGCCATCTTCTGCCTTTTCATTAATACTGCCCAAACCAGGAGGTCATTATAGGGGTAGATAAAGCCAGATGACTCGTAATTCTCTGCAAAGTTTATATCCTCTTTTGATTTCTTCTTACACTTATGGAAAGCAGTGGATCTTTCCTATAAATTTGTTTTTCAAAAAAGAAAAAAACTCAATGCATGGATGAGGTTCAGACTCATGTAAATAAAACTGCACACAAATCTGAATTAAAAGTAGCAAACTATTTGATCATTACATACTGTGTTACATACTGTTACAGCTGTGGTCATAAATGACAGCTAGGATCACATTCAAATTACCAAACAGCTAATCAGCTGGTAATATTAGTGGAGGAAAACCACTTCTTGCCCTGCACTCATGCCATTTAAAACTTCCCCTTCCATAGTCTTGGGCAATCTCCAAACCCTGTGACACCAAGATCCTACTTTCACTCTTCTCTTGTACTTGTGTAATGACAGGGAAAAAAAAAACAAACAGTAGACTGAAACATGCACAATGCATGTGTTATACTTAAAGCTGATTTTTACTCTATGCCACACTTGTAATGTAAACTTGCTATACATTTACATCTGGATATTTCTCCATTAAAGGCAAAGAAAAAGTCTTACTGGTATAAGTGAGGTTGTCTCAGTGCTAGAATGGGATCATCTTGCCTCAAACTAATTCCAATAAAGCTGTTTAAAATCATTCTACTTTATTTTTTGTCTGTCAGATGTATGTATGTGGCCATTTTTGCTCTTTTATCATTTTGATTTGAAAGAAAATACTCTGTCACCATTATCCAGGTATCAGAACTGTATCTCTTCTTAGCAGCCTTACTGTAGCTACTTTAATAAGAAATCATGAGAAAATATCAGGAAAGTCAGAGATCTGTTGCTTCCAAAGAAGAAGAGTTTTCACCCACACTTGATGTTCAGAAATTTGGTGATACTACATGTCAGGTAATGAAAGCCCTTAGCAACAAATAAATGGAAGTTAAAAAGGAGGAGTCTGAGCTTGATTTCAACATTAAAATTACAAGACTTGTACTTTGTGAACAGTAAGACATTGCTTCCACTGGTATTTAATTAGAATTACAACAACTAACAGCCTGACCAACACATGTCTAAAATCTCTCAGAAAAATGATTAGCAGTCCAGTACGTCCTAAGCAAAGTCCAGAATAAACAATTATATTACCTTGTACTTGTAAGGCTGTGCTGTTCTGAAGAACTGAGAATGCAAAGTACTTTCAGCAGATCCCATTTTGCTACCTGTCTGATTACTCTGATGAAGGGAATGAGACAGGCTCTGAGAAAAGGTGGAGAGCACTCTCTAGATCCAAAGGCATACCATAAAACATAAGGAGAGAAATGCAAATTAGAGATGAAGTTTGCCTGTACTTATCTTTGATTGTAATGGTGCCTGTAGGAACGGATGTTATTCTAAGACTAGTGAGTCAGCAATCGCTGTAACTACCATTGGAGCTTATAACAACAAGGAAAAAATAGCCTGTTTCAGATCTAATTTAAAAACTATCTATTTTTCTGAATCTTTAAATTCAAAATACTGATTTTCTCAAATGCACCCACCAATTACAACAACAACAGGGCTTTCACCAGATTGGAATGACCCAACCTGGAAGCTCTTCGAAGTGACTACCCTTATAAAAAGTACCATAAGCCCCTTAAAAAACAGAAGTTCTCTGAACTTTTTGCTGACCATTTCCTCCAAAGGATGGCATGTCTAGTATCCCTGGGAATTTTGTTCAGTGTTGACTGAGAGGGAAGAATGTTACCAGCTGAATTCACTAATGCTCTTCCCTGCAGTTCCTAGTTATATGATCATGTGGTTTCACTCATCCCTGTTAAGGTCATATTTCATGAGGATACAGCGAAGAGAGTTACAACTGCTCAAATATGTCTTGTTGAGTATTGTATTAAGCCAGTGACACACAGGAAGCTCTGTCTATGTGTTTCTATTCACTCCAAGTAACAGTTTTCATTATTTCTTCTCATTTTCCCTGATCACCCTGAGGTTCTTCTGTTGGTCATGAAAGCAGTACGAGGGGATGAGAGGTTTTTGTTGGTTTTTTTTTTTTAATATATGAAAGTCCCTCCACTCCAAAAGCTGGGAAGAACTTTTATGCTGTAAATCTGCTCCTTCTGTGATGTGAGGAATGGTATTTGGCTAATTTAGTGAGAAGTTTAGGCTGTTTTCAAGTCACAAGTTTTGGAAAGTCAACGGAGAAAATGAAAGTGCTAGTATGTTTGCACACTGTTGTACAAGTTAGGTTGTTTGTTTGTAGAGATGATGCTACTGATTATTCAGACATGGCACAATGCTATGCCATACAGTGAAACACCTTAAGTATCTAGAAGGTGCAGAACAGCATGCATGTCCAAGCACAACCTTCTGCCTGCACAAAGCCACTGCATCCTGGGTGCATTCGGGCACATCCAGAATGAGACTTCCCCTGTGACGACCAGTGCATCACAGAAAAAGCTCTGCCAGGCAAACACAGCTCATTGGCCCAGGCAGGAAGGTGCACCACTAGCACTGAAATGCTTCTAAAAGCTAAGACATTTGCTCAAAACTTGCGTCAGGGATCTCCATGTTGCTCTTCACTATGACATGCTGACACAATCTAAGTCTAGTTAAATTTCTGTTGAATTCAGTACTTCTATGATATGGTTCAAGTTCTAAGAGCAGAAACATGCAACTGCTTTGCAAAAGGGAAAATGGTACAGCCTTGTCAATCTTTATTGATGGATGACAAAGAACACAAGCCAGCTACCAGACACAAAAGTAAATTTACTGAACTAATAGTTAATTTAACCATCACTGGTGGTCTTGAGGGGCAAGGAGTAGTTTGGGGAGTGATTTGTCTGTTTTATTTGCAATCTCTCCACAGTTGGCAAAGAGATTCATAAAACAAACAAGCATGGCATAGATTTAACTGACGCTCATCAGACAAACCACAATGACAACCTGATCTATTTTCAGGTGTCACATTTTGGCTTTTCTTGGTGGCCAGAGGCAGCTGTTTCACAGAAGTTACCTTGTGTTTTCTGTAGAGATCATTGTAGAGAATTCGGAAGTGCTTCCTTGTGTAGCTGCTCCGATAAGCTCCACCAAGGAGGTACTCTATCACCAGCCCAATATCAATCAGTGATATCTTGTAATCCAGTGAAATGGTATTCTGAAACACCAAACGTCATAAGCACTTCATTATGCTATTTTATGCAACACTCAGCCATGTCAGAGCCCTACTACTATGAGGGAAGTCTGGAAGAAGGTGCAACCAAGAGCTCCTGAATCTGTCAGGAAAGTGTACACATTCATTGGTCATAGGAAACTCCCCTAGGAGGGAGAACACAGGCACATCCACATTTTCAGCCTGGAAAGTGTGATGTCTACAGCCCACTGCACCCACATCACATAGGGTTTTATACTGCAATGTTCACAAGACCTGATGCAGTGAGGGTAATGGTTCTTCAGGTTAATCACCAACAGCCAGAGAGACTGATAAAAATCTTCTCCTCATAACAAGAGAAAACTAGCACGGTATGATTTGCTCATTAAACTAGTTAATTAAAAATGAAGACATGGATGAAGCATGTATTTAAAGTTGTAGAGGAATTCCTGGAGACTGGTAATCTCTTGTAGATACTCAAGGCTGTCATGACAACTAGGACAGCAGCTGCACAGGCATTAATTATACCTTCTGTGTCTCTCACCACTTCTGTTTAAAGGACCACTGCTTCCAAGTTTACCTTCACTGTCCCTCTAAGACACAAGGTTTGTGACAAATCCTCTGAAGAACAGATCACCTTCCATGCAGATTTTAAAGCTAATTGGTAAAATATTAAACCACAACTCTTGGAAGTGAAAAATGGGCCTGTATATAGATGAGATCAAAGGCATTATGTATTCCTAGTGATGTATGCCTTTCAGACTGTGAAAAGTCATTTCTTCATTAGCTCAGGTTTTTTTCAATAGGCTTTAGTGGCAAGCCTCAGTATAGTCAGGCAAGGCCTCCCAGCCCTGAGGAACAGAAGGCATCAACAGGCTGAGGACTCTGCCAAAAGCACATCTCGCAGGATAGAGCTTACCAGCTCTGTCATTGAGATTTAGGCAAGTAATTCTGACTGTCTATACTTCTAGATACTTCTTACCACTAAAAAGCATGTTTTATGCTATCAGGGCAGACTGCAATGTAGCTTCATTCAAATGTAGTAGCAGCAAAGCTGGTCACACTAATGGAGAAAATATTCTGAAATCCATGGTCGTATCACTCTGTTCACTGTTCTAGCTACTGTGTTACCATATTTAATAAGGCTGAAACTGCACAACCCATTCACAGAGCATTTAATGCATACTTACAGAAGCTCAGGTGAAAAATCATTTAGATCTGTTTGTAGGTCCCAAGTGAGTTTAGCTTACCCAACAGCATAGAAAGTTTTGTATTTGTGCAACCATTTACTACCTAAATTTCACAATTTTACTTCAAGGGCCCAAAGCTTGCCTTTAGAGCACACACTGAGTTTTCCCAGAGTGTCCTGAGATGTAACCAGGCCATGGGTTTTAGGAGAGGGGTCATACCAAGAAGCAAATCACTTCAATGTCAGTGAGAAAGACTGATTTCTCAGACTGGAAAAGTTCAATGTATTTTCAACATTGAGATCTTCCAGATCTACCACATAAATTAGACCTCAAATATGTCCATCAATATGGGGAAACAGAAAATAGCTTACTATAGAGACCAGAATACCCTATACATATCTACAGAACCATCAGTGGGATTGAAATGAAAGCCACCCACAATAAGGTCATACCAGAAATCCCACTACTTGAGACCACAGAACTTGGCAAAGTCAGACCTACCATTTTATTTTATTTTAGCATTCATACCCTGGAAATAATTTGCCAATTAATCTAGTTTTGGATCTAGGCATCTCCTGCAGTGGCAACTAGATGTAGAAAGAACAGCTCATCCCTTCCTGGCGAAGCAGTGCTATGAGGCACAATATAAAACAGAAATACTGAATAAATTAACTGTGTAGTGAAATAACAAGACTGCCATGAAATTACTAACAGAGCCAGTGCTCCATGCAGTAGTCATCCACTGCCACCTTCTGTTCTCCTAGGCAATGCAGCACATTAAAATAATATTATATCTCATCACAGTATCTTTTTGTTACTGTTCAACACGGAAAGACTTTTTTAGCTTTGAGTGGGAAAAAAAAACCTTAAAGCAATGAGCATAATTATTGCACTAAGTCCCTAAGTCTTTTGTACAATCACTTCAGAATGCCACTTCAGTAACTGATCTACATAAACTGCTTGGCTTTGAAATTAAGGTTGAGGACCTTTGGGAGCATTCAGTAGTAGTATGCTAGTTAATTGCTTAGTGGGATCAGTGGGATGAAGATAAAACCATTTAGTAGATATAGAGGCACAGTAATGAACCCATCACTTCTATTGCTAAAATTCCCCTGTATTACCTAATAGCAGTATACCAGTGGACACTGAAGTTGTAAGCTACCATTTTTGCTCCCCAGCCTTTCCTATGTCTATTACCTGTTTCACATCTCGAACTAGGTGATGCAAAAGTAGGTTTGATGGTCCTTGTTTCTGTGATGTGAAAAGACAGTAAACAAACATGTCACTCTACATGATCTAAAATCAATAAAAAGAAAGCAGCTAAAAGATCTTCAGGGTAAGTTACTATGATTCAAACTCTCACCACTCAATCTCTCCCCACAAAACTCTTCAAAAACATTTCAACACCAATCTACAACATCTCCATCTTAAATCTTGACATATTCTAAAATGAAGTCGGTATCAACTTGATTATTTTGTTAAACAACATAAAATTTTCAGCAAGACAAGCACGTATCACGTACCAGATTGAAATCAGAACATATTTCTAATGAGCTTCGGGTGACTACTCAGTCTGGTTCATGTCAATGAATCAAAAATAAAAAGCTGGGACACAAATCCAAAAATCCAACATTACAATCAAAAATTATCAAAAACCACAAATTTTCAAATTTTTTCAAAAATCCTTCATAAAAATGTGGCCTAATTATCAAATCTCTTCAGCAAAACAGTACCCTTTCTAGGCATTCTTATCTAAAGCTCTACACTGGGATTTCAAATACTCACTGTATTGTAGAGTTCTTCTAAACGAGATATGGTAAGAAAACGGTGCATGTTCACTCCATGCTCTATTAACAGCTTTACAAAATCCACACGGTCCATCACTAAAGCATCCAGCATTGCCTGTTCCAAAGCACCAACCTCCAGAAGGACAGAGATGAAGGAAAAGCTTAGAAAATTATTATTTTGTTTTGGAAATAAATAAAACATTCCTGAATAGCTGGGGATCTCTTTATCACAATGATTTGTCTTTACATATATTTAAAGTGTACAGTACAAAAGAAAAGTATGCTGGAGGAAGTATATGTGTAAAAAATCCAACAAAGAGGGGGAGGAAAACCAAGTCTCCATAAATCCAACATCTGTAGAGACTTCTACAAATCTAACTTTACAAGCAGACTCTGATAATACATTCCCTACTCTTTAATTCACTTCAGAAGCTAATGTATGATAATGCAGGGGGTGGAGGGAAGCTTTTCTTTTTTAACACATGACAAAAGCCATTTCAGGGTACTATATTTCAAGATCCCTCTATAGAACTTGAAGTTCTTTAATGCAGACTTCTTTTCAAATATAACAAGAGAATCTGTATTAGGGTAAACTCTCTCAAAGACACCACAAAGCAGAGCTCTACCTAGAAGTGTCCAAGCGGCAAAAGCACTCTACTCATGGCACATGCACAGAGCTCAGTAGGATTTCTACATGTAAAATAGCAAAGGAGTTGGCCATATGAGGTTCATATAAATCCATATAAAGAATTTCTACAGAACACATATGCACAGAAAATTCAGTGAGATTAGCAGAATGAGGATGCTGGCACACAAGTGGGGCAGGTGCTAGCGCTAACTTGGCATGTGAAATTAATCCTTTCCATGTATGTATTTACATTTGGCAGAAGTGATATTAAAAGATAACCAATAAATGTTACAGAATTGTCACATGTCAAAAGAAAAACTGCACTGTTCCTGAATTATTAGTGTTTCTTCCAGAAATATCTCAGAGTGACCATTCTTGTATTAAATTCCCTCAAGCAGTCATTCTTTGCGCTGCCAGTGTGTCTAAAGAGGTTTAGACAGCCATCTGGTAACTACTAGAATGACATTCTTCATTGTAAAGTCCACCTGAGACCGAAGTGAAATTTAAGCAGAAACTTTGTTACAGATGGTTACAGTCTTTACCTTCTGAACTTTTAGGACCAGAGTTCTAAAAAAAAGCGGCCACAGTCTGTGCATAATTGTGCATGTTTCCTTAAAACACTAAACAGACAGAAAGATACTAAGACTGCATGGACAATCACCTAAAAATTGCAGCTTAAATATCTAATTCAAAATTTGAACACACAACCACATTAACCATGCACAAACTGACAATTGCAGGTCTGGAAGACCCTGACAGTCAGAGGGGTACTCCTCTTTATTTAAGAAAGCAACTAAGTCAAAAGCAAACTTTAAAACTGTGATTGTGAACTTTTTTTCTTTCCTTCCTTCTTTTTTACAATGCATGAAGAAAATATTGCTATTTAAGACTTTTTTCCTGCTTAGTGAAAAGAAAAACTTTCAGAAATGTACATCATTCTAATTTTTGCTTGCAGAAGCAGCAAGAGATGTAAGCCTTGTTTATTATGAGCTCTTTACATCTTACTTGAATGGGAGAACATACTCATTATTTGAAAATGACTTTTCATTCAAAATGGCGCTGAACAATTTCACTTTAATAGATACAAACAGGTACATGTATCCTTTTCAAACATACCAGAAGCAGAGGAGCAGGAGTAGGGGGACTGCCAGTCAATTCGTAAGGCCAGAGGACGATCAAGGTATAAAAGAAACACACAAGGAGATAAGGCTATTGCAGAAATGGTAAATTAATTCATTGCCTCACTGCTCATTACAGAACATGTTAGGAAAGGTCCTACATCAAAGCTGTTCTTTATGGCAGAAAAATCTGAAGAACTGTGTCAAATTGAAGTGTCAGTAGAAAAGATTATAGAAGTCATTCGTAAAGTGGTAGCAAAATTGTCAGGACCAGCTGGTATTCACCTAAGAGTTCCCAAGGAACTGAAGTATAGCTGAAATCAGCTCCTCTAACAGCAGAAAGGAAGATGCTAGAAAATATGACAATTGTTAAAAAGATAAAGGAGTGTACAAGTTGTCAAAGTATGGCATATCAATAGCTAGAACTTTCTAAGGATAGATGTAATGAAACTACAATAAGGAATATCAGTAACAGCAACATGATTAAATACAGTAGAGTAAGAAGAAGCAAGGCAGTTATTTTGTAGAATGAAATTACAACTCTACCAGAACTTTGAGAGGGACAATGAGCATAAGGCTGTGCAACTGATATAGTGAGCAAAATCCCTGCAAAAGCTTTTGATTACGTCTTTCTTGATGAACTTCTAAACAAATCAATCTGTTACAAGGCAAAAGGTCCTCCAGTAGTTTATTAACAGATCAAATGGTAGGGAAAAAAATTCTTAATAGTGGTAGGAGAGCAAGAAAATCCCACATATTGAATATTGACTTGACAATACTTGCTGATGATACAAAAATACTCATCATAATAAAACTGATTGGGAAGAGGTGCAGAAAAATCTCCTAACATGTGCTAACCAGCCAAAAAATCAGGTGAAATTTAATATTGGTAAATGTGAAATAATGTGCATTTCAGAAACATCTCTACCTGCACATCGGTCTTGGAATAACTCAGAAAATTGCTAGTGGACCTATCTTCTGAAAGCATGAGTACAGGTTGGATGTAAGTTGGAAACAAGTAAAAAAGGTATACAGACTATTAGGATTTACACTTAGATGAATACAGAATAATCTATGAAATATTATTGTTTCATTAAATATCTCAATGAAGAACCCCACCTCTTCAATACTGGGTACAGTGATGGTCTGCCTATCCCAAAGATTACTTTAAGACCTGAAAAAAAGTACACAGAAGAGCGGAAAAGATTGTCCAAAATATGGGAAAACTGAACAGATAGCCACCTTGGGAAAGCCAGGAGTGAAGTGGGTAGAGGGGGCCTATGCAATAGTTCTTTAAAATCTTCTGTGCCAAAGAGGTGGGGACTACGAAAATGTCATTTAATATTTCCCATACACACAGAATCGTTTTGATTGGAAAAGACGTTTAAGATCATCAAGTCCAACCATTAACCTAACACTGCCAAGTCCCACTAAAACATGTCCCTAAGTGCACAAACTAAAAGATGTACATGATATAAAACAATGAAAGAAGACATTGGGAAGAATACATTTTCTTCATAGAGTCAAAATACAGGAGGATATAGTAAAAAAAAAATTATAAAGGGAAAAATACACACGTCATTGTGTATTACACAAATCTCTTCCATATTTCATAAAAACAAAAGTCTGTTGGACAGAAATACTGTCAAGGTTATGCAAATACTCAAAAGTTATCAAATAATTCATCATCATGAATAATGGTACAATTATTCATGGGTCAGTCATATACTATGTTTCCCCATATGGTTTAGTCCCATTCAGTTCACAGTTCCCTTAGCAGGTAGCTATTCAGTATTTTGTTCTAACTTGATTATTTCAGGCTTAGCACATCCCTTATTTTTCACACACCATTCAAATCCTGAAAATGAAACCAGCAATTTCCTTCTTTGCCTTTCAGTGGACAGTTGACACCATTTTACCAAGTTTTGTGCAAGAACATAACATGATAGTCTCCACTTCACACGTAGTGAACTGAGCCCCAAGAGGTAACAACAGCAACAAAAAAATCCTTTAATTCATGGATGCCCAACTGTAGACATCTCAGGCATAGTCCTCCATGTATTCACCCTTATACACCACAGGAAAATAGAGCTGGTGATAAATAAATTCAGCTCTCTTGTGTCAAACAACCAGCTGCAGTCACTCAAAAAATCTATACCCACTCTGCATTTTCCAAAATGTATACTGTAATAAAGAAAAGGCACTTGGGACTATAAAAAAATCAACCTTTTAATCCTTGGAAGGCAAAAATTAAAATGGACTTCTGGGAGCATCAGATATAATTTCTTGAAGAAAATATTTTCTCTTCTAACAAATGGGAATAGCATGTGTTGAGGCACATACAGTTTTGTATTTATCATCTATAAAAAAATTTATTATGTACATAAAAATTCACTTAGGGAGGCTTAAATACTGGATTACAGTTGAAAACTCAAAACCCAAAATTTATAGGACTGATTCAATTGTTATTGCATGTACTTTCACACACACATATAGTTAATGTAGGTCTAAATAATGGTTTGCTTGATTGCAGCTACTCTTAACAAACAATATCTGAAACAATGTCATGATGCCACGTTACCACAGTTAATGCTAACTTCCTTCTACCTGGTGACACCATAAAGGACAATGATTTCTGTATTTCTGTCTAGAGCTAGGAAAAGAGAGGCAACACTCTTTTGGAGTTTACTGCTTTGGAGAAGACAGTACTCTGGGCTACAACAAAATATCCTTGACCACCAATGACTGTCAACACAGGCTTGAGGAATACATATATAGAAGGACCACTGAAAATATTTGGAAAAGTTAGCAGCAAAAACCTCAGGAGTTTTACATATCATCTCTTCCCTGGGGCAATAAACTTGTGTGATTTTTCATCTGATGCACTCTGCTGTTGAATACTTCTCAATTTTAAGAATAATGCCTCTCCAAAATCAAAGATTATTACTCCAGAAGAATGACTCCAAGCACCAAACTATTCCTTAATTAAAACTTGGCAAATGCAAACCACAGGAAATTAGTCATCATAATAAAGTGTAAGGCCACTGTGATAATTAAAAGGTAATAGTACCTTCCAGTGTTGTCCATAAACCAGTATGTGTTTCTTGGCAATATCTAGCCGGTTCCAGGCCAACGCCAAACCTAGCTGATCTGAAGTAGGCATATTTGTACCTAGGAAACAAGTAAAGGACCTAGCAGTTTTCACACATTGATGTTACTTCTTTGCTTTGAAAAGGTAAGCCAATGGGACTGTATGTCAGATGAACACAGGTCATATTTTTAGACAGGTACCTTTCAAGAGTGCAGTCAGAATTGCCAAATCAATGTCCTGCTGATCTTCTGACTCCGCATCAAATATGGTTATCTGTTAGAATTGCAGAAATATACTATTTGAGGTAAGGCAGAGAAGTCTGTAGTTATTTCTTCTTGGTAAGGGCTGTGGTAGGTTAAATCATACACACTTCAACACAAACAATGGCAAAGGCCCAGACATGACACTCCTTTGTTTCAGACAGAAAATGTACCATTTCACTTTTAGCATCCCAGGCAAACTGGAATCAGATTACTGCATAATAGCATGAGTCGACTTCCTTCTGACTACCCTTTAAAACTGAGAAATGTAGAAATGAAACATAAAACATATCTACTCAGCTTCCAACTAGAAGACAGACACTCAAATAAAGTAAAACAAAAAATAATAAAAATATATTGGGTAGTTTCCATTTTAGTGATCATTGCTACAATTGTCATTACTCCTGTAACAAATAGTACTCCATCATATTTGAAAAGTTGTGGCAGACTGGTGAAGTCTCCAGTGACTGAAAAATGGGAAACATAACCCTTACTTTTAAAAAGCTAAAAAAGAAGACCTGAGGAACTATGGGCCAGTTAGTCTCACCTCTGTGCCTGGCAAGATCATGGAGAAGATCCTCCAGGAAACTATGCTAGGGCATATGGAAAACAGAGAGGTGACTGGTGACACCCAATGTGGCTTTGCTAAGGCCAAATCGTGCCTGATAAATTCACTGGCCTTCTACAACAGGGTTACAGCGTTAGTGTAGGGAAGAGCAACTGATGTCATAGACCTGGGCTTGTGCAAAGTGTTTGATACTGCCCTGCACAACATCCTTGTCTTTAAAATGAACAGACAAGAATTTGACAGATGGACCATGTGGTAGATAAGGAATTGACTGGATGGTCACACTCAAAGAGTTATGGTCAGTGGCTCCATGTTGGGGTGGAGACAAGTGATGAGTGATGTCCCTAAGGGGTTGGTATTGGGACGAGGATTATTTAACATCTTTGTCAGGGTCATGGACTGAGTGCACCCTCAGTAAGTCTGCAGATGACAATGAGCTGAGTGGTGTCGTTGATACTCTAGAGGGAAGGGATGCCATCTAGATGGACCTTAACAGGCTTGAGAGGTGGGCCTGTGGAAACCTCATGAAGTTCAGCAATGCCAAGTGCCAGGACCTACACGTGTATTGGGGCAATCCCAAGCACAACACAGGCTGGGTGATGAGTGGATTGAGAGCAGCTCCACAGAGAAGAACTTGGGGGATATTAGTGGATCAAAAAGTGACTATGAGCCAGCAATGTGCGCTCACGGCCCAGAAAGCCAACCATGTCCTGGGCTGCATCAAGAGAAGTGTGGCCAACAGATTGAGGGAGATGATTCTACCTCTCTACTCCACTCTCGTGAGACCCCACACGAAGTACTGTGTTCAGCTCTGGGGCCCCCAACATAAGAAGGACATGGACCTGCTCATGTGGGTCCAGAGGAAGGTCATGAAGATGGTCTGGGGGTTGGAGCACCTCCCTTACGAGAAGAGGCTGAGAGAGTTGGGGCTGCTTAGTCTAAAGAACAAGGGGCTCCGGAGAGACCCTATAGCGGCTTTCCAGTACTTAAAGGGAGCTACAGGGAAGACAGGGAGGGACTCTTTATCAGGGAGTGTAGTGAATAGGATGAGGGATAACAGTTTTAAACTGAAAGAGCATAGATTTAGGTTAGATATTAGGAAGAAATTCTTTCCTGTGAGTGTGATGAGACTGGCACAGGTTGCCCAGAGCAGCTGTGGCTGCCCCCTCCCTGGAAGGGTTCAAGGCTGGGTTGGACGGGTCTTTGAGCAACCTGATCTAGTGGAAGGTGTCCCTGCCCATGGCAGGGGGGTTGGGACTAGATGATCTTCAAGGTCCCTTCCAACCCAAACCATTCTATGATTCTACTCGCAAATGTGCACTTGAGCCACCAAACGTGCCAGCTCATTTCAAAAGTGCATACCGATAGTCAGAGACAAGTTCTAGCATGAATCTGTTATAAGAATGGGTTGAAACATTTCTGAATTAGAAGTAAGACTACTAAAGAAGAAAAAAAGTAGGAATTACTTGATCTTTTGGGTAAAAACAAAGATGTCTGGCCTTTTACTAAAATCAGAAAGGCTGTCATTTCATAAGCAACCACTATGAACTGAGAAGTTAACTAAACGGGATCTGTGGAGCTACCCAGTCTATAAATTAGCACAAACACCTTTGTGTTATCTTTATATTAGAGATAACACCATTACTTCTACAGCTGCTGTGCTCATGCCAACCCACCGCAGAAAGAGCAAAACAGGTAACAGCAAATGAAGACATCCTAAACTCAAGAGCATGAACCCCACTCACGGATTCTCTGTGCTGCATGCATTCCATCAAAACATGAAATAGATGACTGGACTGTTTCTGACCCAAGCTAAATGTGTTTTGAATCATCACTAAGACTTCCTCCTTCACTTGAGGGCGCAGTTCCCTAAAAAACAGATATATAAGCAAGAATAAGTATATTTTTAGCTACTTCTTACCAGCCTGAACAACACCTCAGAAAAAGACAGAACCTGTGCTAAGCAGAGACATATAAGAAATCTCTTTTATTTTTACTTCTCTGTTTACTTATTCCTGCCTTTTTTCAACAAAACAAAGCAAAGGCATCCCATAACATAAATTATTATTCACACGGGCATGAGTTTTGACCATATATATATATATATATATATTATTGGAAATAGAATAAATGAAACAGTTAACAATTTTCAAAGGATTGTCTGTAAATATAGAGCTAAAAATCACTAAAAGTTTAGCAAACTTTTGATTTCTTTCATTAATCATATAGGGATAAAATTCAATTCCTCATTATTTGTTCACTAGGCTTCATATATCTCCCATCTTTTTCCCTCATTTGTCTTTCTGTTAAACTTTCCATCCATATTTTCCTTTTCTTTTGAAATGGCAGGATTTTTTTAAAAAGATCAAAAATATGGAAGAGAAAGCAAGTGAATAAAGAAGTTCTCAGTACAACACACTAGGAAAAAATATCACCCCCTAAGAAGAATATCTAGAAAATATAATAAATAAAAAATTAGGATATAAATCTTATTAGATTTATTATTTTTTTTTTAAATTGAATCAACCCACACCACCTTTTTATTTTTTTTTTTTTTTTAATTAAAAAACCCTTTTGACTTTGAAAAGTTTTCACAAAATTATTAATTGGCTATACAAATGTATATATTTATTTATCTCCAGTTGGGATGTAAAATTTTCATCAAGGTAGGTTTAACAGAGTCTGCACCTGAGGCTGCACTGCAGGTGACATGAAGAGGTACAACTAGATGAGGATGACAAATCCAGGTTACTACTGGGTAAACTAAAGCCAAAACCAAGGAAAGCTTAGTCCTCCTCCTTCTTTAGCCTGAAGCTCCTACAACAACTAACCCCAGCCTTAGTCTCTGAAGTTTTGTGCAACCCAAATCCAAGCCCACTTACAGAATACTGACGGCAGGAGAAAGGATTGAGCCAAAACCCAAGCAGGCAGTCTGGGGTCACCCAGCAGTGTCCCTTGCCAAAGGTAAAAGACATAGTAACTCAAAATAACTAGACACAGTTTCTTTTTCCTCTTCAAAAAATGCTGTACTAAATTTAGTGGAGTAAGTCTTTCAGCACTAGTTTAAGGCAGGGAAGGAAGAAACTCTGCTCTCACTTCACAGAAGTAAATGCCAGCAGAAGACCATGGCAGGGCAATACTACCAGAAGCATTAAAAATTATCTCAGCAGATTTGAGACAGGTGTTTTCAGGTTCCAGTATGACAGACCAAGGAGGAGGAGCACTATGCCACTACTCACCCCGTATCACCTGTGTGTTTGTGGGTAAAAGCCAGGATATCTGCAGCTCTGCCAGTGCCCTCATAGACCACCACAGGGACGGCTGGGCTGGCCCTCACGTACTCCCACACCATTAGGATCACATTGGGGCCTCCTTCCACCACCAACCCAACTATGGGTACACCTTGGCCCATTCCTGTTTCAAAACATACCTAACCAGTTACAAACAGGTCTCAATCACACAGAAAAATCAGAACATCTGGTAAACAAATACTCATGAAGAGTTTCATACATGGTTCAGTGGAGGAAACCATGCGTTCACCACCTCTAATTTGACTTGCACTTTTTAAAACTTTCACAGAACTTCTACAATCAGATCAAGATGACCATGAAATCCTCCTGATAAAATTGTAAGTGGCCTTAGCACTGGAAAGAAGAAAAATCCTTCAGAATATCCCTCTGCCCTTTATGACAGCTCATATTTCTCCATTTCTACTGCATTTTTTAATAATCAAAAATAAATTTCAAATAAGATGCAACAGAAATGGAAAGTCTGAATTGCAAAAAATCATAGTAAAAGAAGATGTACGAGGCTGAGTAAAAAGCTCTAAATATGAACACAATAAAAAGCAGGTAAATTTCTAAGTTTGTAAATACTATGATGTGATCAGATAAAGGAAATAAGGATTCAACATCATAACTCTGTTAATGTCTTTTTAACATACCTCAAGATTTAAATCACTAGACAAGAGTGAACTTTCATAAATAATTTATACAATCTAGTGCATAAAATGAAATACTTGTCTATGTAATAAACATTTAATTCATGATTTGTATACCATAACTCAGTTACTGTATAGGCAAATGGACATTATGCAATCTGATGAACATTGGCTGGAGGCATTCCTTTCCTAACCAGTCTTTGGTTTTGTACTGGAGGAGGTCACAGGTTTGCAGTATAGAAGAGTAATGAGAATAAAAGTAATGAACAGGGGAAGAAGGATTCAAATTATAGTTAATGTTGACAATTTTTCCACGTAGAAAAATGCTAGGAAACTATCTAGTGCTGATACAAAGACCATGCAAACCTGAAAAGTGAGCAAATGCCCAATACTTAGTAAAGAATCTGAGCCATTTAGATGTCTCTACAACTGAGAAACCAAAATGCGAGTTAGCCCAAAGGCATAACGCTTTATTTTTAATATTTATTGTTGTCCTTTTCATTTTCCTGAGATACAGAGTTCAAGACACATGCAATTAATAACTTCCAACCTCAGTCAAATCTGTGGCAAATGAAGATGTACAACAGGTAACAGGAAACGTCAAGTACCTCTACAACTTTTAGGATAGGTTTTTCTCTCATAAAGCTGATCATAGCAGTACTCACTTGTGTGTATTTTTTGAAGTGATATATACTTCTCCAAATTCCTCCTGAGCATCATTTCATTCCCATACTTGCCTAGTGTCCCATCATCTGCCATTAGAAAATGAGAATGCATGCTGTTGAGGGTACTTAGCTTGCTGAGCGGATTACCAAGAGTCTGGTACAGGCAAACTACCTAAGAAAATAAAAATAAAAAGACCTTCAACGAAACCAACAAAATATCACCATTCATGTTACCTCTCTTGCATGTATTTCATTAGATTGTGATCTTCTGAGAGCCTCCATCACACTTTTGCATTTGAGTTTTCATTTGATTCTTAACAGCAACAAAACCACAGTTAATACCACAGAAAGCATTTCTAACTAGGCTTGCAGTCCTCAGTCAAAGTCACTGCCTGCTTCTTTTTTCAACAGCTGAAACACAATGGCATATTTCTTCTGGGTGTATTCGCATTAAAAACATGTGAGCTACCATTTATCAGGAATGATTTCACCTTGTCAAGTGTTTTTAGACAGTTATGCAGACTGCGCCTTCACACTGGCACTCACATAAAGTTCTAGTTTATGAATAAAATTCATATATTAATAGCCTATTTGTGTATATCATTAACCTGACTGCTCATCCTGAATCTCATGAATATAGAAATACATCATTTGCCGCCACAATAGACTTGCTAATCAATTACAAAATTTCAGAAAGAAATGGCAGTTTCCTGCAAGGATATAAATATTTTAGAACTATTAATTTACATACAAAAAGCAAAATACAGTGCCTCAACATGCCACAGAATTCTAATGCTGAGCAAAATATAAGCCTCTATTACTGAGAAAAAAATATTAAACCAATGAAATGAAGCAAGCTGAAGATAAAGTATGCAAGAAAGCTATAACATCCCCTGAACATGAAGGCTTTTATTATTAAAATGTGTTCAACTCACATCTTTTCCAATGAGATCCCTCTGGTTCTCAATGATACCCCATGGAGGAATCCCAACAGCACAGATCTTTCTCAGGTGTGGTGAGGTACAGCCTTTCAGTGCATCCCCCACATGCCTGGACACTCCTAAACAGATAATTAAATCATCATTTTTCTTCTTTATTTGGAGACCTGCTACAGGACACCAATGAAAAGTGCTTACCATCATTTACTTTACTCTATGGTTATGTTTTAACCAGAAGCAAACTATCCCACTCAACTTGTATACAGGAATTGTAAGGGTTAAACGTAATGCACCAATGTTTCAAACTCAAAAACTATTTCTAATTAATTTCTAATTAATAATACTAATGCTAATGGTGCTTTCTACCTCCACAAAACTTTATTATTTACATAAATGCACAGGTCAGCTCTCCTGTAATGTCACTGGATTGAATAAAAGCTAAGGAAGTTAAACCTGTTTCAGTTTCGTGGCTTACTGACCCCCTCAGTTTTTGAGAGTAGTCTATAGGGAGTTTCAGATGCTAACAGGCTAATCAATGGATTATCCAAATTCACAACTTTCTTAATGATAAAATATTAACTAAATTTTGATTTGAAAACTGTTCCAAAAACAGCAATCACAGTCCTCAGAACCTAAATATTTTAATGAAGCAGATAAAAGTGAGTGCAAATAAGTTCTGGTTATCTACTATCAGTGTTTCTTACTACGTGCAGAATACTTTGCTCTTGAATAAAAAAAAAATATTAAAAATTTTCAGAATGCCTGTCACCAGCAGAAGACCATGATGTCACTCTTTGAATTATGCATTGCTCCTTAAAAACAAAGCCTCATTTTGTGCTAAAATATGACAAATGGTCAAACAATTTCATTGTATTTGCCCTAAATGTATATGCTTGTATGGCAGAAAAAGAACACCAGAGGAAGACTGAAACAAAGAAAAATAATTGCACTACCGCTGTTGATGCCTTCTGTAATTATCCATGCTCCTGTAGTCTCAGCAGCCTTCACCAATCCTTTGCTGAAAACCTGCTTGACCTTTGAGGGAAGCTTGAAATTTTGAATGCCTCCATGAACAGAGATCACTAGCTTTGGCAACTCCATCTGCCATTCTTTAACCATCAGGTGCAACAGCTGATCCAAATTACTATCATATGAGAGTCTAATATACTGGAAGAAATAATAATGGGTAAAATAAACATCCTTTAAATACGCCAAGAGAATAAACTGCAACACCTTACAAAGTTTGCAACATTAATGTCTTAAAAGACTTTGTGCAGGATTGGGACTTCCGCAATACTGCTAACATGACAGCACAAAAATAAATCACTGAGCAATACAGGCAGCAAGACAGACCACACCTAATCACAATGAAGTTGAGCATAAAAATATAATACACACACTCTAACTTAACTTACTTTTAGATTCCCTTGCCTTTCTTATGCTGAAATTACAAAAATAAGTTGGACATATAAACTCAGCATCTATTACCTTGGCATGGTAAGTGTGATCTCCATCTTGAAAATTGATTGTACCAAATGCATCTGTCGGACTCGTCTTTGTGTGTTTTTGCACGGACCATTCTCCAGAATCTCTCTGTGGGGCAGCCTGATAAACAGACCAGCTACAGTCTACTCCTGGGTGATCTCCAATCAGCCGTCCACAGCAACACCTCACATGAAAAAATAAAGAAATTAATTTATATCAAACACATTCACAATGCTACTCTAGGATCTTCATTGGAATATCCCAATTAGCATTTCTCTAAAGAAGGCTATTGTAGCTTTCTGACACAGAATATAGTAAAAATTAACTCAGCTGAATAACATTGAATTAAATCATAAGCATGTTTTGTTGGATATAGAATTTTTTTCTTGGATATAGAAATGTTCTCTACCTGAGGAACACTAATAACAGCTGGGGGGTTGGACTAGATTATCTTCAAAGGTTCCTTCCAACCCAAACCATGCTGTGATTCCTTGTGATTCTGTAACAGTCTGAGTGTCCCGTACAGCAATTCTGACCAAAGCAATGAATGCATCTCAGATTTACTGGTCTCAGATGTGACGTTTCAGAGGAATATCCTAGGAGACCAAGGTTTGATGTTCTAGGTACTGAAGAAAGATCTAGGAGTTGCCATCATTAATCAGGGTGAGAGGAGCAACCCTCAGTCTAGAGAGAACTTCAAAGTGACCTTTATACTAACCCTCAGACAACAGCAAAGTGAATATACAAAATAAATGGATTGAGGTACAATGTTAAGGGAAATTTAGCAGAAGCTCAGCTAGCATTAAAGGTTTGAAACTGCATGAATAACCCAGATTCCAAATTCAGTCAGTATTACTGTCATACAGGCTTCGACAGGCTCCAGTCTCTTCTACAGGATTAATTTCAGTGTAATTTATAGTGACATCTGACAGACCAGTTTTCCCTTAGACATTTCAGAAGTTAATATACCCTGGGAAATGGAGATAAATTCTTCCCTTTTACTCATTTAAGAAACCAAACGGCCTTCAACAGCCCAAACTCAATGACTGCCTTGAGACTCTGATGTATTATTTGTGGATCAAGGGACAGGCTAGATGTAAACATCTGCAAAACCCTGAAGAGGTATATTCAGAGAGACAGTTTTCTGTGGAGATGAGTGAGAAATAATTGGTGAAAGAGAAATAGATTAAAAATACCAAACAAAAAAAAAATCCCAAAACAACCCTAAGCAAATTAAGGAAGTGATTTCTTTAGAAAGGTACTTTCTGATAAACAAAAACGATGAAATTATGTTTGCGCTCCATTTTTTTCAACACAGGCAAATTGCATTTGACTGATTCAATGCTCTGCAAAAGCAGACTGGAGAAGGAAGTCTCCCACACTCCTGGGGAATTAATAACTCAATTAAACAGTCTTATTCAGTGGAGAATTAAAGCAATGTAGAATCCTAGCACTGCAGAAAAGACTTGAGCTCTATTGTCACACGTATGATGATGGTTAGCTAGAAGTTAGAAGGCAATATGGACTACCAAAAATGCTCAAATTTTTGTCAAGTCAGTTCAAAACAGACTATCTAACTAAGACCACCTATACTTTCTCCCTAGCTGAGACAAATAGTAGAATATCATAGAAATACAGGGACTTCCCAGAAAGAAGTCAGGAATGCATTCACAACTGAATCCTGGAAAAATTAAGAGGAAATGATCTAGAGGGAGTGAGGGGGAGGCTAACACCTCACAGAGCAGTTTTTATTGCCAAGTTACTCTAACCAAAGTATTGCCCAGTTTGGCTCACTGCATGACTCCACAACCATTTGCACTGTGGTAGTGACAGAAAGAAACCCAGGGATTAGCAGAGGGGACACAAGAGCTGCTGAAACAAACTATTGATCTAGGGACCTCATTTTGATGACCCAAAAAGCAAAACCCATTGTAATTTTGCCTCCTCATAGACAAACAAAAACAGGTCAGGGCTGATGAACGAAACAGAAAGTATCCAAGATGGAACTTGAAGAATCAGCCAGTTGCACTAAGCCACTTACATATATACCATTAAAACTATTTCAGAAAACTGTGAGGGATCAACACAGATGAAAAATCATTGCTGACATTGCGTTGCTAAAAAACATGGACTTAGAATCCACACTCAGAGTTGCCATACAGACATATCCAAGATCAGCGTTTCAGAGCAATGTAGCTGCAAAGTATATAGCACAAAGGATGCAGATTTGGATAAAATCAGCCCACAAAGAGCACAAGGCCAATGACTATCCTTGTTTATGACTCTCCCTGCATACCTCAGAGGAAGGACCAGAAGAAAGAGGTAGTTTTGTTTTCACTATTAGTCTTCAGAGGACACATTTCTCCACAGCTGAGTTATTACCCTGCTTGATCCATTTTTTTCTGCTTGCTTTCTGGGGGAACTTCAGGGTAAGAGACAGCAAATGTCAGGAAAACAATGATCTTTAGATGAAAGACGATAAAAAGCATAGATACCCTATTGTCCTTTCATCCTGAAAATACCCTGTAGTCACTGTACTGCTCCTAGAGTGGTCTCACAATAACAAGACCTTTCATCCAGGCATCACTCCAAAAGACAGAGAACCAATAGCAATCTCAACTAAATACTACATTACTTTACATTACTTGCTTAGATACCACATTACACAGTCTGAGTCTGACTCAACAGATACCAGCACTTGGAAAGATAGCACTGAAAGGCAATCAAGCTCATCATCAACGGATTACATTTTCTAAAATCTGAATTAATTTCAGCCCATCATCAAAATAGGAGCACAGAATTACTATCTACCTCATATGTTATTAATCCATACAGGGTCACAACAGCAGCCCGTCCTAGAGCATCAAGAGCCAGAGCACCCTGCCATTTCAAAGCAGAGATCTTGTGGAAAGGAACTAACCATCTGACAAGACAAATCAGTGCAGTAACCTCAAAACTGAGACTCAATGAACACTGAACTAAGTAACTACCATATTGTGCACTACATACTTAACATTTATATGTAAATGCAACCAGAGATGAGCTGCACTCAGAACATCTCAATTAAACTGAGCAGGCAATGGAAGAACTGTACATAAACTTCACACACAGGTGTCCAGGGTACTGATACAGGGCCAAGATAGGAACAGGGGATGTAAGGGTTAACATGAGAATAGCAAGAAGGGGATGACAAAAGAAAATAGTTAAGATAATAGTTCAAGGGAAATAGTTTAGATAACGGTTAACAGTTCTGCTTAGTGAGCAGACAGTTTGTAAAACACGATGAGCTCTCTAGGCTTTATCAGTACCAAGCCGATTGGAACTAGACCCGCGGTTTGGACAACAGCCAGTAAGAAACTGAGTCTGCGCAAAACCTGGGGTCACAGAGCGGACAGGAGGAAGAGGAGCTTGACTTCATCCCCAAAGACCCCCACGACCACCACCAGAAGACACTGCGCAGACTCAACTAGGAGGAGATTATGGAAATGCTAATTATAATACGAAGCGGGGATAGGTGTTGCATATGTATAGGCGTATTGCGAAATATTATGAATATGTAATCATTTGCTCTATAAATCTAAGGTAACAGCACCCCACGTTGGGTACACAATAGGAGGAGTTATCCCCTGTGTACCTCAGCGCTGAATAAACATACCTACTTTACAATCTATCAGATTGTGGAGTCTGTTTTCCGCACGTCAGTACATGCATCTGCTTTTACCTTAAAGATTACCACAGCAAGAGGTACGAACTCAAAAGGTCTGGGATTTCCCAAATAGCTCATGCTCTGCTCCAAGTTGACATGCTCATTCTCTCTAGCCATCTAGCAGGAAGTGAAAGAAGGTTGCTAAGGTCTCCTGAGCTACCTAGGAGGTCATAAGCCATGACTAAGAGGCTCTCAGGAAGGTTGAGGAAACCAAAGCAGAACATTACGTACATTTGTTTGGGGTTTTTTCTGTAAAGTTTTGTGCTCTGTGCATAGTGACAGGACTCAAGGAGGAGAGAAGCTACCAGCCAGGGATGACAGCTGAGTTGGGATTGCTTGGGAGCACTCAACCCACACATGTCACTTGGACATCTCAGGCTGCACCCCAAAGTGCTGAGGAAAACCAGTTCTCAAAGGACATGGAGATCAGGGAGGTCCCAAAGAACCAGAGAAAGGCAAATGTCACACCTGCCTTCAAAAAAGGGCAAAAGCCACCCTGAGAAACTGCAGGCCAGCCAGCCTCCTGTCAGTCCCAGGTAAAATCAAGAAGCAAGACCTCCTGGAGCCCACACCTGGGTGCAGCAGGGAGAAGACAGTGATGAGGAGCAGTTGGCAAGGATTTACCAAGGGTTAATCACGCCTGCTCCACCTGACTGCCTTCTGTGACAAAATCACAGGGGTGAGAGGAAAGCAGCGAATGCCACCTACCTCCACTCTAGCCAGGATTTTGGCACTGTCTCCCCCAGTATTCTTGTATCTGGGCTGGGACGTTACAGTCTGGGCGGGAAGAAACGTTGGTGGGTGAGAAGCCGGTTGGGTGTTGGGCTCACAGGGCGGTGGCTGATGGCTTGGATGCTGCCTAGAGGCTGTTATCAAGCAGAGTTCCGCAGGGTCTATGAGGGGCCTGTCCTGTTCAGCATCTCCACCAGCAACCCAGAGGAGGGGATGGAGGGCACGTGCAGCCCTGGGGAGGGGGCAGCTCTGGGGCATGGCCCTGTGCACTGGTGGGCGGCGAGCTGAGCCGGGGCCACCTGCATGCCCAGGCAGCAACGAGGCACAGCGGTGCCTGGGGTGGTGTGAGCAGGACACAGCCCTGAGTGCCAGGGGAGGGCAGGGAGTGTCCCCTCTGCTGGGTGCTTGTCAGGCCCTGTCTGGGTACTGCCTCCAGTCTGGGTCCTCAACACTGAAGAGACACCAGCAAACCAGAAGGACTTCGTAGGAGAGTGATCATCCTGGTGACAGACTGTGGGGTTGGAGACCTTGCCCTCCAAGAAGAGGCTGCGGGACAGGAGATGGTTCAGCTAGGAGGAGGAGTCGTTTTGGGGGCATCCAAGAGCATCCCCAACGCTGATGGGACAGGATGGAGGAGATGCAACCAGGCTCTTCACAGTGGTGCGTGGTGGGAGGGCGAGAGGCAGCGGCACAGTCTGACACATGGAAGACTCAGGCTGGAGATAAGGAGAAGCCCTTTGCCCAGG